CCTTCTCATTCATGTTATCATAGGAATTGTGTATTTGATTTTGAGAGGCATCAAGCTATATGTTTTTTGTTGAGATGTTGAAGACGTTTTTTCATTATTCGGTTAAATTAATTACGAGTTTTTAAAATAATATTAGAACGGTTCTACTATATTTTATTCCCTTTTATCACAGAAATATTATAGTTACCAAAGAATCAAATCAACAGGATACTTTTCCTCCAGAGTTCGTTGATGTCTTATTGGTTTCTCTTTTAATTTTCTTTACTGACTACTTTCTTTTTATGTAAAGGCGTAATTTCTACTCACCAATCATGCAAACCACGTGGAGGTCAGCGTAGGATTCATTCTTCGGCCTTGGCTCTAGCGGGCGGCTTTAGCTAGATCCTTATCTACGACGGAGCCGTGCGCTGTTCCCCAAAGTGCATTTTTATTTTAGGTATTTTTAAGTGTACCAAACAGTAAATGGCCCGATTAAATATAATGCTGCCTTTGTTAGAATCGATTTAGTTCATCCTTAGTGACTAACTAAAATGCCGTCCATTTTAGAGAGGTAATTTCAAACTTTAATCTAGACTATGATTCGGGGATCACGTAAAGGTCCCCTTAATTGCAACAGTGTTGTCATGAATCCAACAATACAATACATACTGAATACCCATGAATCAGTTTACTTACATGGTTACTGGAAAATACCAGCAACGTCCAAACATGTTAGCGGTAGATTCACGTGTCACAGGTGCATCAATGGGCATGCTTCGTTATTTATTATTGATACCTGAGTAATTGATGCAATTATAAGTTCTAATACTTGTTATAAAAGTTCATTTCTTGCTCCAAGGCATACTTACTTTAATAATAATGAATGTTTCACGAAAGATAAGCCCTATTAGCTATCGCTTGCAGTCACCTAAATAAACATTTGCCGTGATAGCGGTTATTATGACTGCAATGGTTATGGCCCACAAACCTGAGTAAATAATAATGTTCCACGTGTCCTTCAATTTTATCAAAACTGAGTTTGTATTTTTTTTCGGAATTTTACCAAGACAGGTTTTGCCAATGGACCGTCCATTTCCATATTATAATGATCATCATCATCCCTTTACTTTGTCTATAATTATGTACTTGAACTCAGGCCTTTTTCAATGATGATTACTTTTCCTTTCGCTGTCTAGTTGTACAGTAGTTTTCACTCTGGTAGATCTAATGCAATGATTACAAAAGAGCTTTAGGGTCATTCCATGACAAATGTTACCGAGGGTGAAAAACTAAATATGTTCTTTTCGCATTCAATCTGATGAATTTTGAAAGTAAACATTTCAAATTATAATGTGCAACAAAAAAAATCTGAAAGAAACAAGTAATTTTTAAGTTATTAGTCTTCAAAGTCTATACTTAAGTCAACTGTCTGAATGATCATTTTCTCTCTAATTTATTGGTAATACGATTTTAAAAAAACTATCAATCTGTGAAACGTTTTGCCACTATACGATTCGAGGGTATTTATCATAGTATTGGTAGATAGCGTCATATTCCCAAAAAAATTGATAATCATCAAGTTTTAAGTGTGTTTTCTTGTTACTTCGGCGATGTAACACCCGAAACAGAAAAACAAGTATTTGTTTTATTATTGTACCTTACACATGGATTAGAGTAATAATATTTGGTAAAAGTAAGGTCATGGTAGTAATGATTTCAAATACTAACTAATATCTGAGTATGATACTAATTTAGTNATGTTCCACGTGTCCTTCAATTTTATCAAAACGGAGTTTGTATTTTTGTTCTGAACTTTACCAAGACTGATTTCGCCAATGGACCATCCATTTCCATATAATGATCATCATCATCCCTTTACTTTGTCTATAATTAGGTACTTGAACTCAGGCCTTTTTGAATGATGATTACTTTTCCTTTCGCTGTCTAGTTGTACAGTAGTTTTTACTCTGGTGGATCTAATGCAATGATTACAAAAGAGCTTTACGGAAAGACTTACCATGTGCGTTATTCTTTTTTTACTTACTTTTACTATTCGTGTTATGTAATGTAGAGTTAATTTGTTTCATCGACTGTTGTAACCTTTGATCGCCAGACTGCGATTCTGAGCTACTGTAGGCGACCTTTCATGGTACACAGATGAAGGCCATGTCGAATGTATTGATGTTTCGTTAATAGAGGTGATCGATTTGATACGTCATTATGATGATGTGATCCAGGAAGGGCAGTCATCAGTTTTCGGCAATTGACAAAAAATAAATGTCATAAGTACCTACCTACATAGGATGCAATATGATCGATTAGATTCCTCAATGAAATGAACACGAATATTCAAATCGATGTGATCCCATATTTTTAACCAGGGTTCGAAAATATCCGATATTTATTATAAATATCAAAATATCGGATATTTATGATATATATCAGATATATATCAACTTTGATATATATCAATTTTGTATGAAAGCCATAGTATTATTTTATTGTATTATTCATGAATACTATTGCATATGTGTTACATAAACATGTTTTTAATGTTTTTAAAACTTAAAATCAGACAAATAAAGCAAAAACATAAAATATCTTTGAAATCCGGCAAAATCAACTAAAAAAATAAAAATGTTATGTCAAAAAGTACAAATACAGTAACAAATTTTAAAAGTTGATATATATCATCAAAACCGGCTTGATATATATCGGATATATATCCGATATATATCTTGATATATATCCCTTGATATATATCCTCGAACCCTGTTTTTAACCCAGTTAAACCGGTATTTTGAAGGTCTCTCATGATGTCTGGAGGTCACTTGTGCAAGCTGCAATTAGTGGCGTCATCAACGGCAAGTTTTTGATCGCCAACCAAACCCAATTCCAGGTAGATGACGAGGATCAACAGGTGTCTGGATGAGTTAGGAAATAGCTTACTCTCGGTCGCTGCAATTTCACATTTGATTTTATTATAGCGTGATTGCCTGAAAATTCACTTATCACGTCAAGGGAAGGTTGTTCAGAAAGCCACTGATGATTTTAATAGAGATTATACATATATTAGGCTGTTTGATTGAAAAATAATAGCTTTATCAAAATATACTACCTACTTAATCACTTAATTGTCGGGCGTGTGCTACAATCTTATCAAGTTATCATTGCAAATCCATCAATATTGGTGCTTCAGATAGCGAATGTTGTAATGTCACAACTTTAAGTAAACATGAATCTTTATTGCTTGTATCTAATCGTTTTATCAAACAGGCATGACATTGACACCCGTTTATGGGAAGAAGCGTGAATCAACCATGCTAAGTTCACCTTATTTGATCATACATGGAATGTTTTCAATGACATATTCGGTTTTCCTTGTGCAGATGCAGTTTTTTTTCAAACAGGATTGTGCTCCTTATTATTAGTCGATATTATATTGGTGCACCAAAGCTAAACCCGAGTTTTCACAATTACATACAAATCGGCTGTGCGGAGCGATCCGCACTGACGGTCCGCGTGATACTAAAACCAGCCTATGAACTTCTAGGGAGCGGAGCGGTTCCTCCGGACCGCATTACTCTAAAACGCTCCCTAGTAGTTCATACAGATTGGCTGTGCGGACCGGGTCCGCACCGGACGGTCCGCGTGACACTAAAACGAGCCTTACGAATATGTATTATGGACGATGTCACATCATACCTACTCACACTGTGGCACAGTCATAGGTGTAATGCTGTCGATCGTCTATTCATTGTACAGACATCACATCGAAAGCAGGTCAAACTGTCTGAGCGCCACGTCATCAGTTTTCCATTGCAACGTCAGCCGAGCGTGTCGCGATCCGCATGAATGGTAAAATAGTAGGACCAATGACAGCGACAAGGCCGATGGTTGCATGTCGCATGCTAGGCGGGTGCGATGACTGATAGCCGATTGCAGGCCAAACTATCACTATCAGCTGATCCGTATCAGTACAAGTTCAATCGATACTTAGCATTGTTTACAAACTAGTAAATTGCTTTTGAAACTAATCGAAGTTTACGAGTACAAGTAGTATCATGGTACTGTAAATATTGAAGATAGAAAATTGTACATAATTAAAATGAAATTAAAAGTTACAAAATTCAGATCTTTCCATCAGATTTTAAGTATTTTTATACTTGTTTGATGGTTGACGTTACTTTTTAGTGTGCTGCAGTATCTTGAAAGTACATAATAGGGAAACATAAATAAAGTCTTCATTAGGTAAAGTACACCCGATGTTACAATATTTAAAGTAAACTCCATTTGCCTAGTATTTTTCATTTCATTTATTCCAGTACCTTGTTATTATTTGACTTCGGTTGCGTAGGTTATTCATTCTGCTTTCAAACATGTAATGATAGGTTTGCGTTCAAGCTATTGTTGGATAAAAACTAAATAGAAAAATGTTGTTCGATATTCATTGAGCTTTTGGATTTGCCGTTGAATAGTCGCTAGCTAACATTTTCTAAATGAAGTCAAAGAGAAGAAATCAGTCAATTTATCAAATTCTGTGTCATTATTTACGCTATAGAAGTGATAAAAGAAAAGTCATTTTTGTATTTCCTCGTGGTAAGTTAGCTTATCGGTGGTGTGAGGCTCAAGCGAAATGCATACTCGGGCGATTATGTTTAGTTAGTACTATGGTATTGGTAAATACTTATTTTAGACTTGTCTCAGGCAGCTGGACCTACGCCTAGTCTGATTTCGTTTTCGATTATTTAGACATAGATTTAGTTTTTTATCAAACTGAACGTAATGTTCAGGCTGCTACCAACCGGGCAACATGGAAAGCATTGAGAGAGGCTTATGTTCAGCAGTGGACGTCCTATGGCTGAGATGATGATGAACGTAATATGGCCACTTATGATACCTGAACATCAGGTTCAGGAAACTCTTCCTTTCAAACCCAATGTTCCCTCCTATTTGAAAGAAGTTCTAGACATAACTAGACAATGTTCCCCTTTTTTAAAGAACTTTCCCTTTGTCACCAGACGAGGACGAGGCGACGACCTCGGGCGTGACGGACGGCGCGCCCGGCGACCAGAACCGCGTCATCTTCATCAACCACCCGCAGCCGCAGAAGTTCGTCTCCAATAGCATATCCACCGCCAAATATAGGTATGGAGTCCTCGGTACTTAGGGAGTCAGTTGGTGTCCGAATGCAAGAGGCAACTGCTACCCTTCTAATTTATTTTGACACCTTATAGTGCTTACTTATAACGTCCTTTTACTGCATGAAAAATACTAAATTCGTCGCGGGTTCCAAACTAGCCAGCTTTGCCCCGGTACCACTCAATCTTCAAAGTTTGTCGTGGATATGTGAGCAAAGACGAAAGGCGGAACTTATTTATTTTTTGGAGAACTGTACAGGAAAACAAACTGTAAACCTACTGACAAATGGTCAGAACAGAATATAACTATGACAAATGCAAAAATGCAGTCATAATAATTTAAGTCAAATTGAATGCAATAATAATCAAATAATCGAAACTTTATTAACTTTGTTGTCATGAATACAATGTTGTCGTCATGTCACACGTCCATACAATCATTCTTCCCTAGTGGATTGAAGAATTTGTCTTACGGGAGAATTGTCTTCATAATTAGAATAATCACTTATAGCTGACAAGAACAATAATGCTGTTAGTCAATAATAAGTCCGCCAATCGATAAAATTGGACGTGAGTAATGTGAGCATACAATGGACGCGATACGGATTTGTAGAAATAAATCAAACTGAAAGTGAAATGCATTTCAATTTCTCGCCGCCGATTTTTTTAAAGAATATATTTAAAAGACTGTGAAAGTACCAACATCATAAAAACTTTCACACTGAATTCTAAAGTATCATTTAACAGAAACGAGTGTCATAATCACTTGAGACTTATCATAAGTTAGTATTGTCAATGGTCCCAACTGAGTTATTTTGAGGATCACCAAGTATTCAATTGGGAGCTATATCGGGCACAATAGCTGTGCGTGTCAAAATTCGTGTCATTGTTTACACAAGACGCATTCCCATATCCATACATCACGATGAGTGGTCTGGCACCGCGCCACGCATGCGTCTGCGCTCGGCGTCCCGGTTGGCTCTATGGGGGTGTTTGTAAACATAAGGGAAATGGGTGTTCAATGGTGCCACGTGCTCCTGCAAGCTAGCCAGTCTTGCTAAGATCTGCAGAACTTTCTAGGTGTACGATAATTTATTAACCAACAAAACCGTCGTAGAGTAACCAAGGCTAAAGTGTGATGTTGCCAATCTGACTGCAAAACTTAACAAAACTTTACACTGCTAATTAAAATGGAAACTTTCGTTGATTATGTAAGATTTTATCGGTTGTGATCGTTGTAAAACTTTGTATAATGTGAATCTGCTCTAGTCACTTTATGAAACTACAAAGTCGCCTGGCACCGTGCCATTCCAGATGTGAACTATCTCCAAGGAAACCATGGCCCATTCTGTTTGTAAACATTATTATAATATTCTCTGTGACCTGTTAACATGCGCTCCATTGTGTACTCATAGTTTTAAAAGCAAATTCCATTATTAGTTTGGATAAATATCTACAAAGTTAGTTTTAAGGGAGAAGCGTAAAAAAATCAATTTCTGTTTTGCCCAAAGGATGACTAGAAAAGAAAGGTGAAGAGAATGTTAATTTGCATTTCAAACAAAAAATATAAGAAAGAAAGAAATCATTTTAAATAGAAAATTATATGATCAGAATGTCTCTTAAACGTTTGACTTCTGGCATCACTGTCCTCGTCATGCAACCGTTTTAGAAAGTGAATGAAACGTGTTTCTCCCACAGCGTCCCGTCGTTCATCCCGCTGTTCCTGTTCGAGCAGTTCCGGCNATTCCTTTGCACCAATTTGTGAGATTCACCTGTAGGTAAACCTCAATAAAGCAGCTATTAAGAAAGAAAAATACTTAAAAATAAACATAACCCTCTTTCTGACGCAGTCGGGTAATAAACTAAATGTAATCTTAACATTTCAGTCAGACTTACCTGTCAACTCAACGACGTGCTTTAAAATCAAAGATTGAGTTTAAATTACTCCATATTTTATAATACACATTGAAAACAATATAACTCGCTTGAGTTTTTTTTTTGTATTTTCATAAAAATAACAAATAATCATGAAGATTCACAAAATTTCTGCAGTGGTTGACAAATCTCGTAATTTGTTTTGACAGGTGACAATAAAGCCATAGACAATTTCCTTATGAAAGCCACACTTTTCCAATATTTTTGTTTGCCATGAGATTCTGGTAGACCTATACAGGAGAGCACTTGGCACTACTATAAATCAATACTTTTAAAGGCTAAATGACCAATTTTCAATTATTTGTCCGTCAGACAGATATTATAAAATATTAAACTCATATTTTTTATTTTCTTTCATAATTAAATAATAACAGTCCTACATCGAGTTGAATTGGCGCGTGACGCGTGACGTCACGCGACATTTCAACTCAATACAATANATGTTCCTGGTCAGGCTATATAATGTGAATCTGCTCTAGTCACTTTATGAAACTACAAAGTCGCCTGGCAACGTGCCATTCCAGATGTGAACTATCTCCAAGGAAACCATGGCCCGTTTTGTTTGTAAACATTATTATAATATTGTCTATGACCTGTTAACATGCGCTCCATTGTGTACTCATAGTTTTAAAAGCAAATTCCATTATTAGTTTGGATAAACATCTACAAAGTTAGTTTTAAGGGAGAAGTGTAAAAATTTAAACTCTGTTTTTCCCAAAAGTTGACTGTAAGAGGAAGGTAAAGACAATATTAATTCGCCTTTTGTAAAGTATACATATTGGCATTTTAAACAAAAAAATGTGAGAAAGAAAGAAATATTTTTTAAATAGAAAATCACATGATCAGAATGTCTCTCAAACGTTTGACTTGCATTGCTGTTCTTGTCATGCAATCATTGAAATGTTTTAGAAAGGGAATAAAAAATGTATCTCCCGCAGCGTCCCGTCGTTCATCCCGCTGTTCCTGTTCGAGCAGTTCCGGCGCTACTCCAACTGCTTCTTCCTGCTCATCGCGCTGCTGCAGCAGATCCCCGACGTGTCGCCCACGGGCCGCTGGACCACGCTCACGCCGCTCATACTCATCCTCAGCGTCAGCGCCGTCAAGGAGATCGTGGAGGACTTTGTAAGTAGCGCTGCTGTCTGTTCCTGCTCGAGCAGTTCCGTGCTACTCCAACTGCTTCTTCCTGCTCATCGCGCTGCTGCAGCAGATCCCTGACGTGTCGCCCACGGGCCGCTGGACCACGCTCACGCCGCTCATACTCATCCTCAGCGTCAGCGCCGTCAAGGAGATCGTGGAGGACTTTGTAAGTAAAGAACTGGCTAAAGCAGTACCAGCGGTACTCTGTTTCTTACATCCGAAGAAGTTGCTACTGCGAAACCCTCATGTGCTTCTAAAGGCACGTGAATGATCTGTTACGACGCGCTTATGCGCTGTTACTTAGCACCACCTTGTTTTTTTAAGTAAATAATCATGTTCTAGATTTGTATGCTGGTAGGGTATTTCCTATGACCTTGAAACGAGAAACGAGGCTGAAGTTGTTTTCTCGGCACTTTAGTGCCATAAAGTTGAGAATAATGCCTAATCCATTGCTTCTTTCAGCATTTTAAATTTTCAACCCAATAAAAACGTATGTTGTATAATCGGTATGTTACACGATAGTGAAGCGCGCAGTAGTTCTGCAAGAGCGTATTTTTGCACTAATCAGCCTCTAATTAGATTAAGCCAATTAATATTATTACTGGAGTACGGTATTAACAACATCCTCTCTGATGAAATGGATACACGGCGTAAAAACTCAATGTATTTATTAATTTAATGCTAGAATTAAATAGGTGAAATTGTAAGGACTAGCTAGATTCGCTAAAAGGCATTTGAAGTTGCGTCATATTGTCATGAGATGTACACATTATTTATTTATTTATATTAGAAAGACCAGGGTTTACATAATTGATTATTTTACACTTGATAACCACTTATAGGTCCCCACAGATAGACTTGTGTTTATTTGGTATAAATATTCACTAATTGCATCCTTAACAGGATGATTCCTGCTACGTTAATTAGTTACGCTGCAAGAGATTCGAATCGTGTCAAGGTCAGGAACCGCATTGGATTCAGCTTTGCTAAAAATATCAGATAATTTCAGAAGCTTTAGTGTGCAGAATTTCAGAGTTATTTTAAACATTTTCTCGTGTGGGACGACATCCAACATCAATCTTCAGTTTATAAGAAAACGATAACATAATTTTTCTGTCGTTAGAATTTAGAAGTTAGAATTTAAGCAGTCTACATATACATACGATATATTGAAGATGGAAGCGAATTAAGTAGATTAGGTACTGTAGGCCAGTACTTTTCTCTTGCCTCTGGTAAATTACACAAAAGTCATATAAAATCTCTGTTTGGGGCTGAAAATTTTGGGCTGACACTGTGTAGGTTTGTTGCCGACACGACAAGATCATGTTCAGTTCATTTAAAATTAAAGGTAAATTGTATTGTTTCCAGAAACGTCACAGAGCAGACGATGAGACGAACCGGCGGAAAGTGGAGGTGCTGCGCGACGGCCGCTGGCTGTCGCTGCGTTGGGAGAAGCTGCTGGTGGGCGACATCTGCAAGGTCGTCAACAACCAGTTCTTCCCCGCCGACCTCGTGCTACTGGCCTCCAGGTAGATATTCCCTTCAATACTTATGTTTCGTTAGTTTCAGCCAAATGACGTCCACTGTTGGACAAAGGCCTCCCCCATGTATTTCCACAACGACCAGTCATGCACTACTGGCATCCAGGTAGCCTTCAGGTTCAGAATGTCCAATTCCCAAAATGTCCAACGGTTTCAAAATGTCCAATTCCCGGAATGTCCAATTCCCAAAATGTCCAATTCCCGAAATGTCCAGTTCCCGAAACGTCCAATTCCCAAAATGTCCAATCTACTATTATGATGGGTTTATTGAATAAGTCCTCATAGCCTTTCTTAATAGTAGTTTACCGACCCTCATCAGATCGTTGGTCTACTTAATAGGAGGACCACACTTCGTGTTCCGGCTCGTGGTCGCCACTTGAGGACTTTTCTGTTCCAATACGTATCTTTTCGTCTTTCCATTCGTTTATTTCATCAAAAACCTCCATCTGGCACCATCTCTACGCCCGCCGCAATACTCTAAATTCAATTTAAGTTTTCATTAAAATACACGGTAATAATATTTTTTATCCACAACGAGGAAGCTCTTGGCCTGTATCTCGCCTGATATCTTTCGCACATGCTTCATTTGGAATTTCCCTTCATTATTCGTCGTATATTTTATCATAATATCTACAGTGTGACTGCACACATTTTTCCTCTTTCAACATAAATTGTTATCTGTTCTTGCTGAATTCTGTAGGGGCTCTACTATTAACGAGACGATTCGCTGCCCTGCCACGGAATGTATTTCGTGTATTCGCCGCATATTAAAACATTTTAAAATGTATTTCGTAATAAACAAAAATAAAGTTGTAGTTTCTTTAGTATTGCAGCCCACACAATGACTCAGTTAAATAATGAGGTAATGCAGCAGGTATTAGCGTATGATATAGTATCTATTTTAGTTCAAAACAAGTTAATTTATTTATATGACAAACCTCTAAATATGACAAGTACCTGATAATTCTGTTATTTGTGTCATGGCAGAAAACAATTGAAATGACATCTGTTTGCGTTACCTACGTCATTCCTAGCTACAAAAAGTAATATTGACATTGATTTGCATTGTATTTTCTGAAATGCATTTTTTTTACAGTAGCGTACGTAAAGACAAGAATGTCAATTAAATTAACTGAACGCTAATGAAATGTTATTAAATTTTAGGTAAAAGTATAGCCGCGATACATGGTCTTATTTTGGATATTTTATTAAGTATTCATTCGCATCCGCTGGTTTACTCATACTGTATTTCCGCATTTTTGAATTATCCCTTCCTAGCGATAAGACCGCCGAAATTGTACCGTTTCGTTTTTTATTTGTGTGCCGTTTCGTTTTATGTCTATTTTGCGCGGTGTACATTAAAGTCGATCTATCCTAAAGCTTCATTAAAAGTGAGGCAACGGCAAAATAATCTTAGTAATCATTTATTGCCAAAAGAAACTACGCTATTCTGTTTCCATCGATATTAAACTATGAATAACGTTTAAAACTGTCCGGGATACTCCTTAACCCCATTTGCCTAGTTTAGAGTCTACCTATCACTCTTTCATGCTGTCACTTCGCTTCAAAACTTCAAACTGTGTAGGGAGTAGTCCCGCTTACCTGATAAAAACTTCAAACTGTGCCCCACTGACTCGAATGTCTTTCCGCAGCGAACCGCAAGGTATATCGTTCATCGAGACCTCGAATCTGGACGGGGAGACCAACTTGAAGATCCGCCAGGCCAACCCGGAGACGGCTCGTCTCGACAGCACACGGCAACTGGCCGAGTTCCATGCTACCGTGCAGTGTGAATCGCCTAACAGACACCTCTACGAGTTCAACGGCATGCTGAAGGAAACTAACGCCAAGTGAGTACATCCGGAGCTTATATCAGATAGTCAGGACCAATGTCTGAATAAGAAACTGCTCGCAGTGCCCTGCTTTTTACCTATCTAGGTAATCTTGACATCTGTCAAGGTTAAATAGCCATGTGATTCTGACAGAGTAGAATAGGACCGCCTCCACTCTTCCCGGATGTCGTAAGAAGCGACTAAGCGAGAAAACACCTGGCCTCCCTAACCCGTCTAGCCAGGGTAGGGAGTATAGGCAGGCCTGTTCATCTCCGCGAGTTTACATTGAAAACAAAACACGCACGATGGCCCACCTACAGGATACTATTCGATAAGGCCTCACATACGAGCGAACATTGACTCACGCACGCGTATTCTTGTGTATGATGGAAGAAAATAAAGAAAATGGTGTATTTAACTGTGCTGACTGTGCAGTATTTAACTGCCTAAATAATAATAAAAACACAGAATGCACTTTTTTAAGTTGCCTCAAGATACTGAGAAGTAAATAAGTAGTTAATATTATTAATGATAATTCCTGCTAAATCATGTATTTCCTCCGCCATTTTCCGCAGTTTGGCAACTCACGTCACATCATTTTACCGAAGTCAGCCCTATAGCTTCGGCGCAGTGCCGATCACTGACGTTTGTCAACAAAGTGGTGCTTGACTCTTAATACAGGCTAAATTACACCATATTGTTAATGGCATTGAGCATACATTTTTTTAAATACCTTCGCGAAGTAAAACTTCTGTACGTAGTACTTATTATTATCCCATCAAAAACAATACTTGTCAAAAAAACCAAGTCTCGCAACTCAGTTGTTCTACGGTAAAAAGTTGTGAGATCCATGTAATACCAAGTCCAGGCCAGGAAATCTTTAACGTTTTACATAAATTATTGACTTGGCCATCGCACTAAATAATTTAATTTACACGTGTTTTCATGCGATGGCCAAGTCAATATATTTATGTAAAACGTTAAAGATTTCCTGGCCTGGACTTGGTATTACATGGATCTCACAACTTTTTACCGTNATATTTTAGTTTTTCCTTGATTCATACACCAAACACTACTTATATTCCAAATTTGAAGCTTCTAGGTCTGCTAGAAGTGCCTTAGAGTTTTGATGATCGGTGAGTCAGTGAGTCAGTGAGTCAGTCAGTGAGTGACAAAATTAAGTAACTTTGACCCGTTATAATTCTTAAACTACTGGTTCAAATTGAATGAAATTTTAAATATACCGTGTCTTTACAATGCCTGCATAGCTAATGAAAATTCAGCCTTCTAGTTTTATCCACAACGAAGTTACAGGCGGTCGAAAATGGCCTGAATTGCTTCGAGAAAAGGATGGTACGGCCGTGCCGCTTTTTTGCTCGACTTGGTGGGGGCACTGCCGTGCCCCCAGATTCTGTGGTATAGGTCAAATTCTCCATTTGCCTCTGACAAATTATCTACGTAGGTAAGTGATGATACCGAGGTAGCACAATATTTTAGGAAATACCACTGGAAATCTTATAATTATTTCTGCCAATAAAAATTGTAGAATGAAAATTTAATTGATTTATTGTTTCCAGGACAATACCACTGGGCCTGGACCAGATGTTGCTTCGCGGGGCGATGCTTCGGAATACCTCGTGGGTGTACGGTGTGGTGGTCTACACGGGCCATGAGACCAAGCTCATGAAGAACTCCACCAAAGGTATGTCGATCGATCAACATGGAAATCATTTGGGGAGCTGAACGTAGGCCACGTTCAGCAGTTTGGTTCACAACCAAAAAATCGCATGTCTCTATCCCTATCACAACATTTGCTATGATCGTTTGAACTAAGCCTCTCCGGGCGCGCCATTCAACGCTTCGTTAACAACGAAACTGAAAATGGCTCTAGATTTGTAATTTTGATAAAGAAAAGTTAGATTTCAAATAAAAACAAAAGATTTCGAAGTAAAATAAGCATTTTAGTTAAAATTAAAATTGTCTACCTGTAGCGGAGAATAATGTTGTGGCAGGCCTTTGTTCAAACGATCATAGCAAATGTTGTGGTAGGGATAGAGACATGCGATTCTTGGTTTTACAAAGATAATACGATAGAAAATAATACAAAGTAATGAAAACCACCCGTTATAGGGGCATTTTTTGGAGAAATTTATCAAATAACCAAAAAAATACAGTTTTTTTTCAAAAAGTATCATTTTTTATTATTTGTTGGCATTTTCTGGGTATTTTATGTATTTTTTCAGTTCGCCTGTTATTTAGCATTATTACAGTTTTTATTTTATCAGGATATACCTCTTAGTTTAAAAGTTATTACGTTTTCTTTACAATAAGTAATTCGAAGAAAAAAAATTCTATAAAAAATTAATAAGAAATCTCAAAAAAAATTGACCTCTTTTTTGTAGATAAAAATAGGTCTAGTTTTATCTATTTTCATTCATATATACACTTTAACGTGACTCACACTGTATTGCTAATAAAGTACAAATATTCTTTCAAAAATATTCTGCATTATGTAGTATGCGTAATATGGATAACCTTGAAGTGTCATACGGATCATCTTAGGTGAAAAAGACTATAATGGCAATAAATAAACAACCCGTAGTTTTGAAGCAGTGTTGGTTTGAACTGGGACGTGTAAGGTAAGAACCTCCGCTAAAAATTGCGCGGACGCACGGGGCGGGAATACACCCGCCACCCGTCACCCGCCGTGCGTTTGGCATATCAGCCTAGTGCCACGTACTATCAGCAACAGTGTTAACTATCCATTTCCGTTCATGTCGCCTCGTTCTATCGCAAAGAATCACCATTTGATGACAGCGAGAGCAAAAACTGAATCTGATTATGCAACATTGACTTTAACTTTAATTTGATTTGATTGATTAAGCAGTATTATTGTCCCAACTAATATTATAAATGCGAAAGTAACTCTGTCTGTCTGTGTCTGTCTGTCTGTCTGTCTGTCTGTCTGTCTGTCTGTTACGATTTCCCGCTTAAACCTCGCAACCGATTTTGATGAAATTTGGCATAGAGATAGTTTGAGTCCCGGGAAAGAACATAGGATAGTTTTTATCCCGGTTTTTGAAACAGGGACGCGCGCGATAAAGTTTTTCTGTGACAGACAAAATTACACGCGGGCGAAGCCGCGGGCGGAAAGCTAGTAATTGATATTTTTTTTTAATTTAATTTGTACACCGCAAAGGTACGACATGTTGATACCGTTTTAAATGCTGACTTAACACCTTATGTACACATGTTTGAACAAATAAATTTATCTTTATCTTTATCTAAAACGGAAATGGATAGTTAACACTGTAGCCGTGTGTACGTGCATCTTAGCAAAGGCCTTAAAAGCGCTTTTTAAAAGCCTAATCGCTGACGTTTAAAGAAGAAAGAAAAAAAGAAAGATACATTTATTACAATGGACATCACACAAATACAGACCATTACATAGACATGACAGTGGCACATAAAAAATAAAAAAAATAAAAACAAGAGTAAACTGAGCAGTGCCACCCATCCACAAACAAGATGCCCACTGCAACGGGGACTCACTCAGCATATGCCGTGGCCCACGGTGACGAAGGCCACGGCGCTGGTTTTCAGTGTGCCCCATGCCGAGTGAGGGTCAAGGACCATTGGTAAAATAAATAAAATACTAAGCTGCATAAAATTGTCTAGATAAACATACATAAATAGTAATATTAGTGCACAGATAAATACAAAAGGCGGGAAATCGGTAAGGATGATAAGAATACGTTACGTTTGTCCCTTGCAGCCCCGCTGAAGCGCTCGTCGATCGACCGGCAGACCAACACGCACATCCTGATGCTGTTCATGATCCTGCTGGCGCTGTCGCTGCTCAGCGCCGCCTTCAACGAGCTGTGGGTGCGCAGCCACAGCGACTGGTACATCGGCCTTACGGGTGAGGGCACCATCTACCCACTAGAGCAGGGTTTCCCAATTTTTTTTGCCAAGGAACCCTAATTGATTATAGTTTTCCTAGCGGAACCCTACTTTGCAATTATTTGTAAACAAGTCGGTGCGCGCGAACAACGTCGGTCACGAAACGTGGGATAATATTTTTTACGGAACCCTTGCGGCCTTTCCACGGAACCCCAGGGTTCCGCGGACCACCATTCGGGAACCGCTGCACTAGAGCAGTGGTTCTTAACCGGTGGCCCGCGGACCACTGGTGGTCCCTGGAGGCATTCCAAGTGGTTCACGAAGACATCGTAATAAACAAGTGACGTAACGTGACAGTGGGCGAGAAATCGACCACCCCATTCATAGGATTTTGAAAAAAAAGTGGTCCCTGACAAGACAGGGTAAAATGGTCCCTCGTGACTTAAAGATTAAGAACCACTGCACTAGAGCAGCGGTTCCCGAATGGTGGTCCGCGGAACCCTGGGGTTCCGTGGAAAGGCCGCAAAGGTCCCGTAAAAAATATTATCCCACGTTTCGTAACCGACGTTGTTCGCTCGCACCGACTTGTTTACGCACAAGGGAGGTGCAGGGCGTGCGGGCGGAGTAGTACGGGGGTTCCGCTAGGAAAAGTATAATCAATTAGGGTTCCTTGGCAAAAAAAATTGGGAACCCTGCACTAGAGCAGTGGTTCTTAACCGGTGGTCCGCGGACCACTGGTGGTCCCTGGAGGCATTCCAAGTGGTCCACGAAGACATCGTAATAAACAAGTGACGTAACGTGACAGTGGGCGAGAAATCGACCACCCCATTCATAGGATTTTGAAAAAAAAGTGGTCCCTGACAAGACAGGGTAAAATGGTCCCTCATGACTTAAAGATTAAGAACCACTGCACTAGAGGCTTGCGCTAAGGCTCACTTTACTTGAATAACCCAAGCGGGCGCCCGCCTATTAATGCAAAAGAATTATGAATCAAATTTCTTCTTCTTTGCCCTAGATCTTATTCCCATTTATTTGAGGTCGGCTCTCCTCGTTCTGAGGGCTTAGTGTGAGTTTACATCAACCATTTATAGATTTTAAGTTCTTGAAAGCTTCCGCTAGGGGCGCTGTACAATCCGTCATACATTTAATGTCACTTTTTTACGCAGTCGACATCGAATGCGTTTGACGTAAACTCACACTACGCTCCCTGAAGTGCCAGGACAGTCTGTCCTGGGTTGTCGAAATATTTGTTTGGGCACGCTCTAAGTCTTTGGGCACCGTGGACCACCACGTGACCAGTGGGCGTCCTCTATCTTTCCTATTTGGCAGTACTAAGGCCCGTTTTACGAATATAATTGATTCGTGGATTTACAATTGGGCTAAGTGCCAAAAAAAGCAATATCAAGTTTTTGTTTTTCAAATGTGGTATGATGAACTGCTATTCCATATCGAAGGTGTAAAATGCCTACAAAAATGTATGGCACTTAGCCAAATTGTAAATTCCACAGCTCAATTTATGAATTGGATCACTATTTAAAATATGCATGTTTCTTTGTTACAGAGGCGCAGAATACACATTTCGGATTTAACTTTTTGACATTTTTGATATTGTACAACAATCTTATACCTATATCGTTACAAGTTACTGCTGAAATTGTTAGATTTTTTCAAGTAAGTAATATTTAATTCTACTTCCAAGTAATATTAATAATAATTATTAAGTTTTCATGTATCCTTTATATCCTGGTAAAACAGAAGGCCTACATTATTTATTTATTATTATGGATAAAAGGTGGAGCGTCCGATATTTCGTTTGAAGCAGAGCCACGACAGAATGTCTAGGCTGTCTAGCTCAGACAATAACTCGCAGTTCCATCGCAATAGATTTTGGAGGACACCGTCAGGTCTTAGTGAGTAGGCCCGGCCTATTTGATAGGGAGGGGACTCTCCCACAAGTCACTTTAATGCATTTTCTAACAAAAAAAAGTCACTGGTTCCTCCGGCAATTTAGTACATTTCCGGATAAAATTCTGGCGAAGAAGTCTGGCGTTTCGTAACTTGACATTTATTTATTTATTTAATTAGCAATATAATGACTTACTTGACTTATGGTCCTTCTTCTTCTTTTCGTGTCGACAACAAACCTACACAGTGTCAGCCCAAAACTCCGCCACAAGAGTGGCGTTGTCAGTAGCACTCATCAAATCCTCCTGAGTGCAGTTGCTTGGGCACTCAGGGCATGACATCAGGTGCCTCATCGACTGGGGAACAAAACCGCATCTGCACTCCATGTTCAAGCCATCCAAGAATCCCCACCTGGCCAGATTGTCCTTACTACGGCCAACCTGCGTCCGAAGTCTATTTAAACTTATGGTCCTATGTCCCCTAGATGGGGCAGAGGGCGTCGACAACAGTCCTCCATCTCGTTCGGTCTTGAGCTTCTCGCTTGATCTCGCTCCAGGTCTTGCCGATCTTCTTCGCCTCGTCCGCTACAGTGCGCCGCCAAGTTTGCCTGGGGCGACCACGTTTACGTTTTCCTTGGGGATTCCAATCCAGAGCCTGCTTAGGGATGTGATCGGGGTCCCTTCGGAGCAACATAATAAGCTTACAGAAAACCCAAAGCGCTTACATGTTTAGTCACCACATCGATTACAATAAAATTACATAATATTCTTCCTATTCCAAGTTTATATGTATATGAAATTTGTCTATTTGTAACTAAACATAAGTCTCTTTTTGTAAAAAAACAGGAAGCTACTAATAGGAGAATACGATCCCAATATTTGTACAAATTACATAAACCATGTGTAAAACTGTCTGCAGTGTCACGAAATGCCTATATTATGTGTATATCTATAATAAATTACCTGATCGCTTTAAAGATGATGAATTAAGTTTAAGTTCGTTTAAGAGGCTCACTAAATTGTGGTTATTGAAACATTGTTTCTTAGTTTGAAAGATTTTATGGAGCATAAGGAATAGTTTTTTAATTTTATTTTAAGAGAAATGTGTATACACCTGTAATGGTACGATTTGGCGATCTAACTTTATTATTGCAATAACTACTGCAAATGTAATGTACCCAAATTTATGCACAATAAATTATTTGATATTTTGATATTTGATATTTGAAAAAAAATTATATAAAAGTAAAAAAATTACACAAATTGTTAAATTAAAATTAAATTCGTTTGTTTTCCAGGCGAAGTTCATCGCGATGGACAGCGAGATGTATCACGAGGCGACTGACACACCGGCCATGGCGCGCACGTCCAACCTCAACGAGGAGCTGGGCATGGTCAAGTACGTGTTCAGCGACAAGACCGGCACGCTCACCTGCAACGTCATGGACTTCCACAAGTGCTCCATCGCAGAGGTACGCTGACATATCTCACGAAATACTACAGCCATATTTGTGTCTGTCGTTGAACATTGAAACCGTGGCCACAGAAATAGAGCGATACAAGAAACTGCACATCGAACGTCTTACTCATCACCCCAATCCACTCGCCTATGGATTACTGGAGAATGACAACGTGGTTAAAAGGCTAAAAAGAAACCACGTAATTTAAGAAGACAGCTTAGGCATAGGCTAGCTGCTCTTTAACAATAAAATGACACTCAACATATCTGATTATAGTCTGGCGACTGATTGCAGAAATCATTATCACAAAAAAAAAATTGTGTCTGTATTGTCTTTGATGCGTATACTCGATAGCGCCCAAGCCAAGGTTGGCCGAGTCCTACAGTTATGCACACAAGAGCGCGTGTCTATTTGCAACGGAGCGGCGGCGCGCGGTCGCCAAAATGCTTGCAAAATACTGCGGCCGCACTGCTTCTCCGCACAGGTAACGCTTGCAATCCACCAGTGTGGCAAAGCCCTTAGTATAGCCGTGACATAAAACAACTGTACCGATTATCGTTTAATTCTAAACTCTTCCTACAATTTGCAAAAGCGTAGGAAGTTTCTCCACAGTCGACGAATGAACAATTAACTATCAACTATTTTCTTTCACGAGAAACGTACAATATTATTTAAGTTCCAACCGATCATATGCCGAGATTTCAGATAACAATAAGAAAGTTGTGTTTTGCACTGATCAGTACGCATTTCTTTTGTTGCATTGTAAGAGGTAAAAGTTCTCAAATATAATATTCACTAAGCTATGACATTCGCCACGAGACCATCAAACCACTTTATAATGCCGATTTCCCGTTTCACTCTCACACTCGTGCTTGTCTCTAAGCGAGAGTCACATTACCAGTTTGTTATGAGTATTTCAAAAGCCTGGTCCGTGAGCACGTAGAATTTTGTCCAATGATCCCAAGCTACCCATCCTTATCGCTCGCACGTAATTATATTGCTATCGCGACTGTGCGACTGGCAACCTCAGTGAGTGTGCGAGCGCGATAGCAACATAATTACGCGCGAGCGATAAGGATGGGTAGCTTGGGGTCATTGGACAAAATTCTACGTGCTCACAGACCAGACTATACCACTACCCCTATCAACCCCTTCCAGATGATCTACAACCGTCCCGGTGAGAGCGAGCGGCTGGAAGACACGCTTCTCTACCAGAACCTGATGCGCAGCGCCGCCGCGCCCGTCATCCGCGAGTTCCTCACTATGCTGGCCATCTGTCACACAGTCATCCCCGAGAAGGTCAACGGGAAGATCAACTACCACGCCGCCTCGCCAGGTAAGAACCGGCTCTAACTGACCACAATAGACACACTGGATCGATATCGTTTCGGTCCGAGGCGCCATAATAAACAGGTTCATCGTTGTCCAAGTGCGACAAACAGAATACCGGATTTGCGCATCTCTAGACCACAAGACATAAGTAAATATTTTTGAATGCTAACTTATTAAAAACAATGTTCCAACAACGATTATTTAGTAGCTAAAAATTAAGTCGGTATGCTTTTATGCTAAAAGCATCTTGTGGTTGTGATCAGTACAGCCTGTAACAATAGTAAATGTGTGTGTATGTAAATAAATAAATAAATTAACACAAAAAGTGATTATCCGATATAACTAGCTAAGATGCCGTGGCGAATCAACCAAAACCTTCAATGTAGAATCTCCACTTTGGTTTTTTCTGCGCCACTTCTCACTAGTTATCGACGTGGAGCTTGCGCAGGTCCTTTGCAACTTCGTCTCCCCACGAATCTGATACCGGGGAAGACGACGGTCTGATTTACTGGCGAGTTACTATTGCGACTAAATTACCAACCGAATACAATGGATAATTTTTATATGTTACTTAACTTAACCCTTGTTGTTATCAAACACCCATTGCAGCGTTCTTATTAGAAAGAAAGAAAGAAATATTTATTACGATGAACATCACTTAGAGAACAAAGAAAGTATAAAAAATACAGAAATAGCACATAATTACACATATTACAAGGAAATAAAAAGTGAACTGAGCAGTGCTCGAGCTCGGGAGGTCAACGTTGTCGCTGCACGGATGGATACGTCACCGGCTCTTGTGGTCGCCGCCTCTGCCCCGCGACAGCAGAATCGTCGCCAATCTATCAATGATTATGTATTTTTGTAGGGACGTTTTGAATAATATACGTTCAGTAAGGCTAGCACGAAAAACTTTCGAGTTCAAATCGTTTGCGTACTCGAATCGCCATCAAAAGATTTAATAAGAAAACTACAACAGCGCCCTTGTGAACGTGTCGTAAAGTGAACTTAGTATGAGATGTGGTTGCACGAAACTTATTTTGAGAATCAAAAGTGTCACGTTATCGTTTAATTCGAAGATTGAGTAACGAATTTTATCGAGTACGCAAACAATTCGAAGACGAAAGTGGTTCATGCTAGAAGTACAGGTCACATTATTAAAAAAAACTCTAGAATAATATTTTTTTTTGCCCCAGACGAGCGCGCGCTAGTGATGGGCGCGGCGCGCTTCGGCTTCGTGTTCGAGACACGCACACCCACCTGCGTGCGAATCCGCGTGCCCGCGCCCGCCACCGCCACTGCCGCCGGGCCCACTGCTGCCATGGCCACGCAGGAGGAGGAGTATGCCATCCTCAATGTTATAGACTTCACCTCGTCCAGGAAGAGGATGTCTGTCATCGTGAGGACGCCCACTGGTATGTAGCACCATCACCTATTAGCAGCACTAAAGCCTTGTTCGCACTAATCGAGTAATTTAGTCCAGTGGCGATTAGATTAGTAACTAAACGTGTCTGAACATCAAATATTTTGTCGGGTAGTTTATTTACTAAATAATTTAGCCGAGTAGTTTTCTAAATAATTTAGTCGAGTCAATCCATTTTGTTCTATTTTAACAGGCGAGTAGACAACACCCCCACAACGACGCCCAATTCACTCATTCATCGGCATAAGGAGTTTGAACCGGTTGATTTAATCGAGTTCATATAAAAAAAAACACTAATCACTTGTAAACACTACTCGACCAAAGTGCGAACAGTTTTTTGGTAAGTAGTAACGAATAGTTTAGTTACTAAAGGTGAGTTACTCTACTGAATTACTCGACTAGTGCGAACAAGGTCAGCAAGGTACAGCTTAAGGTCGAGAAGATTTTAATGTCATTTGTTCCCATTACTGCAACCCTTTAAAGCCAAAATCCACACCCGCAATCACGCAAGTATTTCGGAACGAACGAATCAGTAAGTGATACAAATTATTGTTCCCCAGGCGAGATCAAGTTATACTGCAAGGGCGCGGACTCGGTGATCTACCCGCGGCTAGCGGGCGGTCCCGCCGCGCCCTACTCCGCCGCCACGCTGGCGCACCTCGAGCACTTCGCGTCCGAGGGGCTGAGGACGCTGGTGTTCGCGGTCGCGGACGTGCCCGAGGCGCTGTACCAGGTACGACACTTGTCTCCACTCGAGCACTTCGCGTCCGAGGGGCTGAGGACGCTGGTGTTCGCCGTGGCGGACGTGCCCGAGGCGCTGTACCAGGTACGACACTTGTCTCCACTCGAGCACTTCGCGTCCGAGGGGCTGAGGACACAGTCGCTGAATAATATACACTCGACATCAAATAAATCGCACCTCCCACGATAAGCACTTTCAAAACTTTCAAACGTATGCATCCCCACTTCCCACCAATATTGGCACCATTTAAAAGCCTAGTTCTAAAGTTCATTTCATTAAAGGAAATGTTTTTACCCCAAAAAATGTGTCTTTAGAAGGATCCAGAGTCACTTCTTCAAAAAATAGGTAGTTACGCTTGAACCAACTTTTTATGGCTATAATACTGTTAAGTTGGGATTAATCACTATCCATCTGTTAAAGAGGACACGTAAGATCATTTATTGGTTTTTTAACCATAAAAATTGGTCTAGTTGATCCCAGAGGTGAGCCCAAAGTGAGGTCTATTTTCAAGTCACATTTATGGTATATGTTAATCATTTATTTAGAAATTAAATGTGTTTTTCTTTAAGGATATTTATCGGGCTTTCAAATAACACCAATATTTTTGAGGCACCATGATTGTGACAGACAGAAGAATATCTTTAAAGTTCGCGTCGCGGAAGGTGCGGTTTATTTGATGTTGAGTATATTAGAAAGGCCTGAGGACGGTGCTGACTACGGCAAGGCTGGCCCAATAGATTTTTCAGATGAGCAAAATTTCTTTAGACTTGGCGACACCGGGCCACAGCTTTTTGAAAACCAAAGCAAAAGCAAAATTATAAAGGCTATTTATACCGCGCGCCAGCTAAGTCGCTGGCGGGCAAATTTAAATGCCTTGGCGGGCCTTGGCGGACTACATGTGGACTACGGGACCATTCCCACCTCTTATTCCCGCTGCTGTAACTCATGTATAGCTAAGATCCACACTTTGACCGCCAATAAAAACCCAATGAAGGTCAAGTTTGAGGGTAAATTAAACTGTCATTGAACCCGCAAAAAAATTTATCAGAAGAACATAGGAGAACTTGGATGTTGGTTCGACTTCCCTCCAGAGCAAAGCGAATAACAGGAGACAAAAAAGGTTTATGCGCTCTCTCAAGTTATAGTTCTCCAATGTAAACGAGTTACGGTAAATTGTTATCAGTTTGAGTGTTATCGGTACACGCTAAATTATCCATGAGATGACACTCGGATTGCTCGGATCAAACTCCCCGCACCCCGCGCTTTATTGTCTGTCCAGTGCCTGATTTTCGAAATACAAACAAATTATCTAGTAACTGTTAATTTCTCACAAGTATTACCAGGCCTGTTCATCTCCGCGAGTTTACATCGAAAACAAAACACGCACGATGGCCCACCTACAGGATACTATTCGACAAGGCCTCACATACGAGCGAACATTGACTCACGCACGCGTATTCTTGTGCATGATGGAAGAAAATAAAGAAAATGGTGTACTAAATACTGTGCAGTATTTAACTGCCTAAATAATAATAAAAACACAGAATGTACTTTTTTAAGTTGCCTCAAGACACTGAGAGGTAAATAAGTAGTTAATGTTATTCATGCTAAATCATGTATTTCCTCCGCCATTTTCCGCAGTTTGGCACCTCACGTCACATCATTTTACCGAAGTCAGCCCTATAACTTCGGCGAAGTGCCGATCACTGACGTTTGTCAACAAAATGGTGCTTGACTCTTGAGACAAGCTAAATTACACCATATTGTTAATGACATTGAGCATACATTTTTTTAAATACCTTCGCGAAGTAAAACTTCTGTACGTATAGTACTTATTATTATTCTGTGGTATTACTCAATTCGATATGTCTTAAAAAATATCTTAACACGCCAGCTACTGTCTTGAATACAACTTATAAAACGTGATGTGTATCGCAGGAGTGGTCGAACACGTACCACAAGGCGTCGATCGCTATCCAGGAGCGCGAGCAGAAGATCGAGGAGGCGGCGCTGCTCATCGAGAACAACCTACGTCTACTCGGCGCCACCGCCATCGAGGACAAGCTGCAGGTACCGTACAACCAGAGTAAATACAAATGAGTAGGCCATCTTCATAGAAACGCACCGAGCGCGGTTTGTATGTGAGTGCGCCAACACGTATGCGGCGCAACCACGATTGGCTCCCCGCTAATCCCCGCTAAATTTTGTCAGTGTGTGCGTGCGCGCCGCATACGTATATTGGCGCGCTCACATACAAACCGCGCTCGGTGCGTTTCTATGAAGATGACCTACTCATTTGTATTTACTCTGGTACAACAACTCTTTCTTACTTGCACATCTTAGAAATAATTGAATCATGTGACTAGTGTCTTTCGAGTGCCGTCGTCTTACCAGCGCCTGCGCAGCTTTGACACGGCGCTACGCAGCGCTGGCGTTGCGTTTCCAACTACTACGTTTTGCAGGCGCTGGCGAGATGACGATGATTGAATGACTGTAGTGGTGGCAAGGACTGAAACATTAAAGTTATGTTCTGCCACCTTACCTTAACCGTAACTATAACCATAACCGGGGCTTTTGTATATGTATAGTTTGAATGACTTTAGTTGTGGTCAATAGAAGATGGTGCAACGCAGCATAAAGTCCGGTCGCCAAGCAGATAGAATTTCGTCCAATGACCCCAAGCTACCCATCTTTATCGCTCGCGCGTAATTATATTGCTGTCGCGACTGTGCGACGGGCGCCCGCAGTGAGTGTCTGAGCGCAACAGCAACATAATTACACGCGAGCGATAAGGATGGGTAGCTTGGGGTCCTTGGACGAAATTCTACGTCCTCGGCAACCAGACTAATACGTTTTTAGTTATCGACCTGGAGATCGTGTTTTGAAGTTGAAGACATATCCAGCAGACCCAGCAGTGGACTGCCAGTAATAATCCTGACCCTATATTCTTCCACCCAGGACGGCGTGCCCGACACGATAGCGGCGCTACTAAAGGCCAATATGTACGTGTGGGTGCTGACGGGCGACAAGCAGGAGACGGCCATCAACATAGCGCACTCCGCTCGCCTCATACACTCCGCCATGCCGCTGCTCATACTCAACGAGGATAGTCTCGATGTGAGTACTTACTTCATAAGAATAAGAAAATAAAAAACAGAACAAAGGGACTTAAAACTATACACGCATATTTTTGTGCCAAAAAGGCGCCCGCTCAGCATTAACCGAGCCACGCGTGCATTAGGGTGGTCCTTATTCCTATGAAATTTTTTTTTTTTAATATTTTGCGGGGCACCACGTAATTTGAATATATACCATATGAAAGTCTTTCATTATTATTTTTTTAATTTTTAAAAGACATTTAGGATTCGCTACCAAGGTTTGAATTTTAAGTAAAAACAAAATCTGTATTTGTTAGATTCATTTATTTTTAAAGCCAAAGCCAAATAAAAATATTACAAAATTATTGTTGTTGCTATGAACTAAGATATTATGTACAATGTACACATTTGAATCAATTATTTTTAAGATATAAGAGTTTACTTGTTAGTATCTCGACGCGTCGGTACCATGGTCGGTACAGAAGAGGGGTTGAGGGGAGAAGGGGACAAGAAGCGATCGTCTATTCTATCTATGCGATGTTCATTTGCACGTAAAATGTGATATAAACACTTAAATAAAACATTTATGAAACCATGATTTAAGATCTTCAAAGCTTTTTTAAATATTTTGACAGCTGGTAGCGACCTCTAAATCTTAACCAAAAAAAAAAACAAAAAAAGCTAATTTCATCTAAGACGACACCTATGTATGATAAAGGTAAAACAGGCTGGCATATTAGATGGTGCCAGCGAATGCCAGACAAGTTGGTAACAAATATTAAGATTTAAGGTACAATTCCAAGACGGGCCGCAGAGCAGTCCGCAAACTGCAAAACTCTATGAAATCGGCAGCGCGGCATTGCAGCTGCGGCCTGTATACTGCAGATTTCATAGAGTTTTGCAGTTTGGAACTGTACCCTTAGACTCCGCCTTTATCCGAAACTATCCGTAACTTTTGAATTAGTTTCGGTTGCGGTTATAGATATTTTTTTATTTCGGATATCCGATAGTTTCGGTTACGGTTACGGATATCCATAACATCCCTGCTTGGTAAGATGGCCCTCTCCGTCCCGCTCATAAAAAACTCCTTTTAAAATGGCTTCTTCACCTCACTTAGGCCAGAAACTTGAATTTTGGGCACATTAGAATAATATTTTTAACCAAGGTAGATAAAGTTAAAAACGGGATTATTTCAAAAAAAAAAATTGTCGACAATTACAGCAGGAATTTACCAAGTGTTATACCATTTTGGAATCCTTACTAAATGCGCCAAATTATGATGTCACTTGCCACACTCGCGTAGTACAATTTTTTTTCAGTACAGTCAGTTTAAACTAGGCAAAATTTTTATTTTGAAAATTTTTTTGGGAATAATGTATTTTTTTCATCCAAGCTGGAGCAGCTGGTTTTGTAATTTTGATAACAATTAGAGAAGCATTATTCAGGGTAACATAACAAAAAAAAAAAATTGGAAAAAGTGAAGATTTGTGGCAACACGAGTAAAAAGACCGTCACCGGGAGTAGAATTTTTTGTTTTTTTTTAAATGCCTATTATTTTGACAAAATGCCACATAGATTTTTTTTCATATTTTTCTGATAACCAGTATAACTTGCCTCAACACCCAGTTCCGGCTTGACGTTACATTACGGGACACCCTGTATAATCGAATGAGAAAGTGCCCTTCAAAAGTCGAAAAATAAGGACCAAACTAGCGTGCATGCACGCGTGCCCCGACGCTGGTTTTCAGCGGGTGCCTCTCCAACCGACATTTTAAATTACAAAAGAAACAAAAGTGGGCGCCACTATCTCACGGCTCCAATTTTTGCCATGTTGAGCAAATACACTTGAATCAGCATTCCATTAAAATTATTACAATAAAAAAAAAACAATCATCATGAAAGAATTAGAAAAAGCAGTCCATTATTATCGGTAGATCATAGGGGCCTTCTTTCTTCTTCTTCCAGGTGGTTCTCCTAACATACAAATTGGTATAAGTACTAAAAGACACAGGGACGAAAAAGTTAGAAAAAAGATTCGATGACGAGGAATTACAACCTATGAGTAGGTGACAACTGAAGTCAATCCCCATCAGGATATTCAATCCTGATGTCACATTTTAGAAGCTGTCAAATTAAATTCGTCCGATTTTACTCAATGAGTAGCAGATAGAATTTCATCCAATTACCCCTATCAGACTTTAGTCATATTCATTTTAGTCCAAAAAGTTACAAGTTATTGTGGAGATTTGTGTCTGGGAAATCTGACTCTCTGGTTAGAACTAGAACTTTAAAACTAATGATGAATTATCACATTCCTTCCAGGGCACCAGAGAGACGATATCCCGCCACGCGGCCGAGTTCGGGGACAACCTTCGCAAACAGAACGAGGTGGCGCTTATCATCGACGGCAAGACGCTCAAGTACGCCATGGGCTGCGACCTCAAGAAGGACTTCCTCGACCTCTGCATCTCCTGCAAGGTCGTCGTCTGCTGCAGGGTCTCGCCCATACAGAAGGCCGAGGTCAGTAGTTGTGTCGCTGACGTCATCGACGGCAGACGCTCAAGTACGCCATGGGCTGCGACCTCAAGAAGGACTTCCTCGACCTCTGCATCTCCTGCAAGGTCGTCGTCTGCTGCAGGGTCTCGCCCATACAGAAGGCCGAGGTCAGTAGTGTGATGTGTTTACGCCATAATCTATAAGCAATCGTGTTCTCCTCTATTTGACCAATCCAGCCCCCCTAGACAAGTGGCAAAATGTGACAGTTGTAATGTCAAAAACGGTCCTAATTTGGCACTGACTTTGGAGTGCCAGTCCTTTCCTCGATATGTCCTACATTTGAGGAAGAGACAAGGTTGACGACGATATTGTCACCGTCTCTGACTCCTCCGCTGTCGCCGGAGCGAGGTTGCATTTAGATCCATTTTACGTTTCCGCAGCCTCCTTCTGCGACATCACGTCTTTGTAAAAAGAAATATACCTTCGTTTACATCTTCATTCACAAACGGTGCTTGCTTAAGTGAAGCAGCAATTCAAACGCACAACATTGAATAGAGCTCTGTGATATGTGTCACCCTATGCGTCCAAGCGCACTGTGAGACCTCATAGTAATGTTTGTGAATACGGGTGTTAACCTCCTGAATTCGGGCCGTCATTTTGTTGTTTCATCATCATCATCATCTCAGCCATATGACGTCCACTGCCGAACATAAGCCTCCCCCAATGCTTTCCATGTTGCCCGGTCGGTAGCGGGCTGCGTCCAGCGCCATTTTGTTGTATGCGAAGACTATTTATGTCCGTGCGTGTTGCCAGTGATGGTATACGGATCTGAGACGTGGTCGCTTACTATGGGCCTCATAAGAAGGCTCAAGGTCACCCAAAGGGCGATGGAGCGGGCTATGCTCGGAGCTTCCCTGCGTGATCGAATCAGAAATGAGGAGATCCGCAGGAGAACCAAAGTAACCGACATAGCACGCAGAATTGCTAGAACCAAGTGGCAGTGGGCGGGGCACATAGCTCGTAGAGACGATGGCCGTTGGGGCAGGAAAGTTCTCGAGTGGCGACCACGGGCTGGAAGACGTAGCGTGGGCAGGCCTCCTACTAGGTGGACTGACGATCTGGTAAATTTCGCGGGAAGAGCCTGGATGCGGGCAGCGCAGGACCGTTCATTGTGGAAAACCTTGGGGGAGGCCTTTGTCCAGCAGTGGACGTCATTTGGCTGAAACGAACGAACCATTTATGTCCATTCAGGTCGTGGAGATGGTATCGACCGCTACGGGCGCGGTGACGCTGGCGATCGGCGACGGCGCCAACGACGTGGCCATGATACAACGCGCCTCCGTCGGCGTCGGCATCTCTGGCGTCGAAGGCCTGCAGGCCGTTTGCGCCTCCGACTACAGCATCGCACAGGTATCATCGTCATTGCAACCACAAGACCGCCCCTAAAGATTTTAATGGGTAAAGTTTTACGGGTCGGACACTGGTGACCGGACACACTATACAGGGTGTCCCGTAATTCAACGTCAAGCCGGAACTGGGTGTTGAGGCAAGTTGTGTTGGTTATCAGAAAAATATTAAAAAAAATCTATGTAGCATATTTTCAAAATACATAACAAGAATTTTTTTTGGAAAAAGTGAAGATTTGTAGCAAAAAGAGTAAAAAGACCGGCACCGGGAGTAGGTTTTTTAGATATTTTTTTTAATGCCTATTATTTTGAAAATATGCTACAAAGATTTTTTTTATATTTTTCTGATAACCACCATAACTTGCCTCAACACCCAGTTCCGGCTTGACGTTGAATTACGAGACACCCTGTATATCCCGAGACTTCGTACGCGTGGATTCCGTTTGACCCTCTTTCGCACAGGTATCACCACCATTATCATCATCATTAAAGCCACAAGACGTCCACTGCTGAAAATAGGTATCTCCCAATGACTTCCACATCGCCCGGTTGGTAGCGGAGTGCATCCAGCGCTTTCTTGCTACCTTTATGAAAACGCACAGATATGTTTTGTTTCCTATACCTAATCCTGTGGGATATTGGAATCCCACTTTTACATACATTTGCTGTCTAGCTATCATATTAAGTTCCCCAATCCATCGAGCAGGAGGACGTTTCTTACTTATGTCCAGCAATGGATTGCAATAAGCCAATTCACAGCGCGATTTTTTGTAACATCGTCTGCTTGATTCTGATTGCGCCATAGTGGAGCTTTGGGGCTTCTGGTGCATTACGACACCACTCAAAATTTTTAGCATTACTACCTTCTAATATGGCTATTACATGGCTATCATGTAGAGGCTCCTTAAGAGCAAAATATTTAACGATTGTAAGTACTATTTATTAGTCTATCTATACAAAAAAAAAATGTCTGACTGACATGAATTGCAGCAGTGGGAACAAGAGGTGGGAATAGTCCCTGTTTACCCTCCAACATAATAATGTATTCCCTCCTTTAGTTCCGCTTCCTGCTGCGGCTGCTGCTGGTGCACGGCGCGTGGAACTACTCTCGCATCAGCAAGCTCATCCTGTACTCCTTCTACAAGAACATCTGCCTCTACGTCATCGAGCTCTGGTTCGCCATCTACTCCGCCTGGTGAGCAAGCAACATTGTTTTGTCAACATTGTATTTTATTTTTTACCTTACTCCTATTTTTAATACGAGCAGCGAATCGAGACACAATAGAAATCAGTTGTAACCCCGTGGTTTTACCGTGCGGAGATCACGCTTAAGACCGTTCTTATGCGACCACAAAAGGTAGCTTTTCGAACTAAGCGTCACAGACGCAGCGTCTTTAGTGCCACCAACGCTGCGTCACTAACGCCGCGACGGTGACGTTCTGGTGACTTTGGATACCTATTTTTACAAATTTTACTCGCAATATTCGCATGAATGAATGAATGAATTGCATAATTCGCGCGGCAAAAGTGTGATGCGACTGTGCGTCTGTCGTGGGTATCCAAAGTCACTAGAGCGTCACTGTCGCGGCGTTAGTGACGCGGCGTTGGTGGTACTAAAGACGCTGCGTCTGTGACGCATAGTTCGAAAGGCTACCTTTAAGGTTTCACGAGATAATACGGGAATATTAGTTAGCCCCTCGTACTAAGCTGAATATGCTTGTGCACTCGTGACACACCACAATAGTAGAGCGATGGCGGGGTTCGAACCCTCATTCCTCGGATGTCGAGTCGGCCAGTCCGACCCCTCCACACCGTTTGGATATTGTGGCTTAAACCGTGTAATATGCTAGACCTTTTTCTCCCCATGACTACGTTTCAATTGTCCTTTTTCTCCCTATTAAGCGTTTCAATTGTCCTTTTCTCTCCATGTATGCGTTTCAATTGTCCTTTTTCTCCCCATGTCTGCGTTTCAATTGTCCTTTTTCTCCCCATGTATGCGTTTCAATTGTCCTTTTTCTCCCCATGTATGCGTTTCAATTGTCCTTTTTCTCCCCATGTATGCGTTTCAATTGTCCTTTTTCTCCCCATGTATGCGTTTCAATTGTCCTTTTTCTCTCCATGTATGCTTTTCAATTGTCCTTTTTCTCCCCATGTATGCGTTTCAATTGTCCTTGTTCTCTCCAGGTCGGGTCAGATCCTGTTCGAGCGCTGGACGATAGGGTTCTACAACGTGATCTTCACGGCGCTGCCGCCCTTCGCCATCGGGCTCTTCGACAAATTGTGTTCACCTGATATTATGCTAAGGGTAAGAGAGAGAATAAATAAAGAGAGAGTGCATATTCATATTTTAGTTAATCACGCTAGGTTATCAAAATGTGTTTGTGAAGATCAAATTATAATAATAACTCGCAGCTCCATTTCGGTAGCCCCGGACGAAACCATCGGGTTTTAGTGTGTAGGTCCCGCTCTTCTTGCGGAGAGTCCCCCGTAATCCACTCGTTGTCCCCATCGTGATGGGTATGAGCTTAATCACCAATTAGTTAAGATCATAAAGTTAATATTCCTTCGGAATACAGCAACAACCATCAGCTGTTTAAAGAAACCGATCTTGGATGCCACTGTGTATCATTTGTGTGTCAGTGTCAGGATTATTTCACTGTTTTGCACACAAATAAGTTTAGATTGTCACAAATAGTTGCAAATAAACGGTTCTGTTTGACGGAATCACGAAACTTTTATCACACAGTGTTGCCGCTAGTGACATGTCGGTCGCTCAGTTCTTTGCTGCTTTATTCCACTAGGTATATTAATTTTATGGTTATGATGCAGGCCAAGAGCTCATTACGAATAAAAAAACCTTTGCTTCCAGCACCCGATCCTGTACATCCCGTCGCAGCAAGGACTGCTATTCAACGTGCGCGTATTCTGGGTGTGGGCCATCAACGCGCTCCTACACTCGGTTCTGTTGTTCTGGCTGCCTGTACTTATGGCGCCCACCGCGCTGTGGCCCAACGGCCGCGACGGCGGCTACCTCGTGCTAGGGAACATCGTCTACACGGTAAATAAAGTCCGGTCGCCGGGCAGATAGAATTTCGTCCAATGACCCCAAGCTACCCATCCTTATCGCTCGCGCGTAATGATATTGCTGTCGCGACTGTGCGACGGGCGGCCGCAGTGAGTGTTCGAGCGCTTCAGCAGCAGCGATATTTATTTTGTTCGTTCGTTTCGGCCGAATGACTTCCGCTGCTGGACAAAGACCTCCCCTAAGGATTTCTACAAAGACCGGTCCAGCGCCGCCCGCATCCGAGTATTTCTCGCTACCTTCACCAGATCGTCAGTCCACCTAGTGGAAGGTCAGCCCACACTAAGTTTTCTGGCTCGAGAACTTTTCTGCCTAATCGAGTCAGAAATGAGGAAATCCGTAGGAAAATCAAAGTGACCGATGTACCCCCCAGAATTCCCAAACTCAAGTGCCAGTGGGTGGGGCACATCGTATAGCTGATGGCCGCCGGAGTAGACTAGAATAATTCTCGAGTAGCGACCACGAGCCGGGAGACGTAGTGTGGGCAGACTCCCCACTAAACGGACCGACGATCTGGTGAAGTTGGCGGGAAGTACCTGTATGCGGGCACCGCAGGATCAGTCGTAATGGAAATCCTTGGGGAATACCGTCGTCCAGCAGTGGATGTTATTTGGCTGTAACGATGACAGGCAACAGCTGTACAATCCATTTAGCTGTAAAAAAATAACATTTTGAGAGCTGATAATATTAGAAGTTAAGTTCAATATACTGACTATTTCTGTGTATGTTGGCAGTACGTGGTGCTGACGGTGTGCCTGAAGGCGGGACTGGCGACTCACTCGTGGACGTGGGTCACGCACGTGGCCATTTGGGGCTCCGTGGCCATGTGGTTCCTCTTCATACTCATCTACAGGTCGGTACCACAACACCATTTCATGAACCAGCTTTTTACTAACACTAGACCAAAACAAATACGCATCTGGTGCGCTGACGGCCGATGGGGCAGCAAGGTTCTGGAGTGGAGGCCGCGTACCGGAAAACGCAGCGTGGGTCATCCACCCACAAGGTGGACCGACGACATCATAAAGGTAGCAGGAAAGCGCTGGACGCAGGCCAAATGGAAAGCATTGGGGGAGGCCTATGTTCATCAGAGGACGTCGTATGGCTGATATGATAATAATAATAATCCGGTGCAGTGGACCGACGACATCATAAAGGTAGCAGGAAATCGCTGGACGCAGGCCGCTATCAATCGGGTAAAATGGAAAGCATTGGGGGAGGCCTATGTTCAGCAGAGGACGTCGTATGGCTGAGATAATAATAATAATCCGGTGCACTGCGTGATCTCCTTAATGTTGTACGCTGAAACTTGCGAGAGAGCAGAGAGCGGGTATCGAAAGTAAAAGATGCGCGTGTGGAAACCAGGAACAGGAGACTGTAACGCCCTTGCGACTGCGGGTGTCTATGGGCGACGGTAATCACTTACCATCAGGTGAACCGTCTGCTCGTTTGCCTCCTGTCACATAAAAAAAATACTTTCACGAGTGCGTGCCCTCGCGCATGTTTTAGCGGCGACCCTTAAGCAACAAATACTTCTTCGTTCTTACTTTAAAATGAAAAGAAACATTTTATTCAATTTAGACCAAGACCCGTCACTTATGAACGTCAAAGTTGTGCAGGGTCGAAAAATGAAAGGTTAATTTGTACAATGCGAATATATTTAATCCTATTATTATTAATATTATAAAGGCGAAAGTTTGTATGGATGTCTGGATGTTTGTTACTCTTTCACGCAAAAACTAATGAACGGATTTTGTTCAGATTTTGAACAGATTAACATACAGGCTATAATGTATGCCGATCTGTGACACTAAATTTTTTAATTTTCAATTTGCCGTGGGCAAAAGCTAGTATCCAATAAATGCGTTTTAAAGGTGCATTATTATGTAAGTGTGTGTGTGTGTGTGTGGAGCGTACACACTACTGGTCTTAAATATTCTTTTAAATAGTATTATTTTATGTAACTGTGTGTGTGACGCGTACACACCTGTCGTCTTAAATATTCGTTTTAATTAGTGTTATCAAGCTCAAGCTAACGTTTTGTGGTGTTGCAGCAACATCTACCCGTGGATCCTGATCGGCGCGGTGATGCGCGGCATGGACCGCATGGTGTTCAGCTCGCTGGTGTTCTGGTTCGGGCTGCTGCTCATTCCCGTCGCCACGCTCATACCAGACCTCATCGTCACTGTGTGAGTACCAGCCCTGTAGAGATGAGACGTATTTACTAGAACAGATCCACACACTAGGTATTTTACAGTACTAGGCGGCACCTATTCCAATTTTTTAAATACTTGATCCACCTAGTATTTTATAAATTACACGATTTCCGACCCTACCGTCAAAGTAATAGAGGTTATTATTGCGTAATCCGTAGTCGTGTATTACGCGCACCTAGTATTTCTCGCTAAGCTTATGTGCGAACGTAGAGATTCACTCCGTCTCTGTCTGACCGAACAAATTTGAGCGCGACGAAGCAAACGCACACAAACGTAGTCAAACCATATTCATGTAAATAAGAAAAAATATGTAAATATTTTTATGAAATTATATCTTTTAAATACGCCAACTTTTAAGTTGAAAGTCCTAAGCCTGTTGAAGTATGAAGGGAGGAATTATTATTCAATTTCAAATTGCATTATTCATACTACGGTTGTATCTTTTCAAAATTGTATTTGGAAGTCATATTACGTGGATTAGTCCGCACTAGTCGCGTCAAGTATGCTAAATTACTACGTACTAGGTGGAACAGGTATTTGGATCAAGTATTAATAAATACTAGGAATAGGTGCACCTAGTGTCAAATTTACCTAGTATAACCCATCTCTACAGCCCTGACTACACACGCCACACTTCTGCCACTTAAGCTGTGAGAGCAACATTGGTGACCCCGTGACCGTCATAAGTGATTGATATGACTCAATCAAACTGACGACTAAAGCCAAGCTCAATCCCAATCGAAATCCATTCTTTAAGGCTGGTTTTAGAATCACGCTGACGCACGCTGACCGTCAGCGCTGACAGCCGAAATGTATGAAGCGTCGGCGCCGAACGATCAGCGTCACTCAGGAACGTTCCGTTCGATTACATACATTTAGATTTGTCAGCGCCGACGATCAGCGAGAGCGGTCAGCCCGATTCTTACTGTCAAATTTTAATTTGTTTTGGTCAAAATATCATCGGGTTTCGAAGTTTTCACACGTTTATATTGTTTGTAAGACTATTTATTCAATAAGAAAGTGTAATAGCATCGAAAATTGTGGGTATTTGATCGAAAACAGATTTGAATTTGACGGTTGACGGATGAATTTGGAGTAAGATTGATTAAAGAAACCCGGCGTAAGTGTGCCGGAATTTCTTCAAAGACAAACCAAGGAGGCAAACTTTCCTCGACAACAGCTGATATCATGATGAAAGTCACTTTTTAAATCCTAAGAAAATTCCTTCATCCCTTTTTGTTTTCCTTCCCTACCTTCCCACCATAAATCATCAACACATTTAGATCAAGCGCAAGGGGAGAATTACATACAGACATCTAGCTCAAGCGTTAGGAGAGAGCCAAGGATTTTAGGGGTAGGTTCCAAAACATTGAAACGGCGAGCGCTTGCAGATCGCGCGTGCGCACTCGCTATTACTACTGGTTCCGCTGCCCGCCGCGCGAGACTCCCGAGGAACTCCTGAATTTCTTGAACGGCCCGCGAAGTGAGTAAGTCTTTACTTCGAAGTAGCTTTTGAGAGTAAAATAAATAGACAAAGAAATAAGTGAAATATTAAAATGATCATTGCCTTTCGCACGATGGTAGTTTTGTTTATAGCACCATGTTGGGCGCGAAATACGTAACTGATCTACTAATATCAAACTCGGTTCTGTTTGCGGTACACAGCATGTAAAACATTTAAGGGACCAGTCATTCAGTAAAATATTTTTAGAAAATAACTAGGAAAACATAATCATTTATCGACCCTAAAGACGATATTTTCCCACGGCAGCCCCTTGTTCGCTGCGTGGCGTGATACAGCGCATGCGCCAGCAATGGAACGCGCCGCGCGCCAAGCGCTCTTATACAGGGTGAGCGATCGTATAATATAGGTTCAGTTTAATTGTTCTTTGTGTAATCATATGGTATACTATACCATTAGGTATGATATGGTAAATGTACAAAGTAAAATATAAGTCAAAGTAATACGGTATTTTAATTACCACAGTATGTAGATAACGCGCAGTAAAGACGCAGTAGTAGCCGTATAGCAAGTAGATCAACGTAAATCTGTTAATTATTGTGAACTTCTAAAGTAAATGATGATATTTCGGAGCAATTAGTAATTAATAGAATTTTATGATTTTTCTAGAAGAGATGTGGTGTCATGAGATTTTTGTGGAAGAAGATTACGAAACTTCACCTTGCGAGCCGAGCGCTAATGCTGGGTAATAACTATATTTATAATGTAGGTAAACCAAATAGTATTCGATAATATTTAATCATCGTCATGTCTATCATCATTCCAATCCACAATTTCCCATTTGTTCCTCTGATCCCTTACCACAAATTCAGCCAAATTAAACATCCCTTAATAACTTAAATATTATTTTTTGTTACTCATATTTTAGTAGCATTGAAAACAAAAAACAATCAGTAAAGTTGGCCGACACGTGCCGTTTTTGGGTTTCAGGTTTTGACAGCTCAAAAATTATGTGAAATGTAACCTGAAAAGTTTTTATTTTTTAGGAGTAACAAAAGATAGTATAAAAAGATAAGTGATTAAAATGATCACCCTGTATATCCGCAGCATCCACAACTCTGCGTTCAAGACGATGACGGAGGCGGTGCGCGAGAGTGAGATCAAACAGCGCGACCCCGCCGCGCTCCTCGCGCAGCCGAGGCACTCGTGAGTACCGCCCTGTATTACCTCACGCCTACACTACACTACACTACACGAGCGAGGCTTGCTCGCGCTAACGAAACTCGATAGGTTACACGCGAACGACGTAAACCAAGTAGAATGGCGAGGCCCTTTTGACCTATCAAACTTCAATTTGATAATACGATGGGTAATCTCAAACGAGCGACCGATGCGATGCGTAGCGAGTATGGCAAGATCCATTGGAACTATCAATATATTGCAAAAATATGATGGGTAAACTTACGCTTGTGACGTAAGCATGACCTGTTCGAACTGTCTTATTCCAATGCAAAAATACGAGTGTTGCTATTATTGGACACGCCCCTAATTTAAGATTAGTAATTGATTCGTTATGTCGATAAACTGTCATATTTGATCAATAATAGTGAGTTTCGTTAGCGTGAACAAGCCGAACTACGACGATACAGATTCTAAGATAATTGAGTTACTGGTCACTAAAAGGAGCAAGAGACTCTTGCCTTACCCATAATTCTATCAATATGGGTTCTTTGAAACTATTTCGGGCAAATACAAAATAGATTTCCACGAAAATGTCTACATTACTGCCATTTTCAGCAAAAAATAAATTTTAATGCCAAAAAATTACTAAAAGGAAAATCATTCTGCTAATTTAAAGCTGGGCAAGGTTTGAACAGAAATTTTCTGATAATAAAATAAAATTGATTAATAAAATGAAGTAAAGAATATCTTGCATTTGTTTAGAATATTGACAGTGATTTAAAATACGTTGCTAATAAAATAATGTTTGAGTCACACTGTCAACGATTCTATCAAATACGTGGAATCTAAGGCTGAGAGCACACAAGCTAAGCTACAGCGACCGTACAAGTTACGACACGAGCCAAACCAAAGCTCCAAGCTTTAGCGTGAGCGGAGAACATACACACTAAATAAATAATGATTTATTGATGTTCTTCATAATTTATTGAACACTTTATACATTTCCTAACTACGTGTGTGTGGTCTCCGTTAAATATAATATTAATAATGATTCGTTCCAAAGATTTCCATTCTGCCTGCATTTATAACATTGTGGTGATATACTAGATTAGATTAACCGTGTGTGAGATGAGTGTCTGTGTGCTTGTTCCGAATGACCTGTGTTGTGTAGGCTAACATGTTATTTTGAACATTTTATTTACTATGTATGATTTTGTTTTTTTATGTATTTATGTAAATATGTGTATTTATTTATATTCTTTCTTATGTACAAAGTAAAGTTAGTTAAAAGTTAATATTAAAATATTATATTATAGAGCTGTAGGTATAATGTTAATTACAAGACAGAAAGGCTGAATTAGTACACAATATTATTACTAGATTCCATAGAATTTATTTAATTTTAATAAAGTTTTAGCGTATTTTACTAAATATAATGAAATTGCAAACACAGTACATAGACAATAGAACGTATTACTAGTAATATCTTNCTGTGTATTAAGGATTTCTTAGCCCTATAAATCTGCATTCACAGCTAAAAATCGAAATGATCCTCATTGACGTTGACGGGGATTGTCAATGGGAAATGGTGGAATAAGCCAAAAATTCCTACATCCTTTTTTGTTTTCCTTCCTTAACTTTCCCATCATAAATCATCAACACATTTGGATCAAGCGCGAGAATTACATATAGACATCTAGCTACAGCGTTAGGAGAGAGCCAAGCGTTTTAGGGCTAGGTTTCAAAACATTGAAACGGCAAGCGCTTGCAGATCGCGCGTGCGCACTCGCTATTACTACTGGTACCGCTGCCCGCCGCGCGAGACTCCCGAGGAACTGCTGAATTTCTTGAACGGCCCGCGAAGTGAGTAAGTCTTTACTTCGGAGTAGCCTTGAGAGTAGTATTTGTGCAGAGTAAAAGAAATAGACAAAGAAATAAGTGAAAAATTGAAATTATCATTGCCATTCGTGATGATCATACTTTTTTGAGTTTGTAGCACCATGTTGGGCGCCAATGTAATAATACGCAACTGATCTACTAATATCAAACTCGTTTCTTTTTGCGGTACACAGTATGTAAAACATAAGGGACCAGTCATTCAGTAAAATATTTTTAGAAAATAACTAGGAAAACATAATCGTTTATCGACCCTAAAGATGGTATTTTCCAATGGCAGCCCCTTGTTCGCTGCGTGGCGTGATACAGCGCATGTGCCAGCAATGGAACGCGCCGCGCGCCAAGCGCTCTTATACAGGGTGAGCGTTCGTATATAGGTTCAGTTTAATTGCTCTTTGTGTAATTATACCATTGGATATGTTAAGATAAATGTACAAAGCAAAATATACGTCAAAGTAGTAAAGTATTTCGATTACCATAGTATGTAGATAACGCGCAGTAATGACGCTGTAGTAGCCATATAATAAGTGATCAACGTAAATGTAGTATTTATTGTGAACTTCTAAAATAAATGATGATCTTTTGGAGCAATTGGTAATTAATAGAATTTTATGATTTTTCTAGAAGAGATGTGGTGTCATGAGATTTTTGTGGAAGAAGATTACGAAACTTCACCTTGCGAGCCGGGCGCTAATGCTGGGTAATAACTATATTTATAATGTAGGTAAACCAAATAGTATTCGATAATATTTAATCATCGTCATGTCTATCATCATCCCAATCCACAATTTCCCTCTTTGTTCCTCTGATCCCTTACCACAAATTCAGCCAATTTAAACTTAAATTTTTTGTTACTCATATTTTAGTTGCATTGAAAACAAAAAACAATCGGTAAAATTGGCCGACAAGTGACGTTTTGTGACGAAATTTTTTAGGTTTCAGGTTTTGACAGCTCAAAGAGTATGTAAAATGTGACCTGAAAAGTTTTATTTTCTAGGAGTAGCAAATAAGATAATGTAAAAAGATAAGTGATTAAAATGCTCACCCTGTATATCCGCAGCATCCACAACTCTGCGTTCAAGACGATGACGGAGGCGGTGCGCGAGAGTGAGATCAAACAGCGCGACCCCGCCGCGCTCCTCGCGCAGCCGAGGCACTCGTGAGTACCGCCCTGTATTACCTCACGCCTACACTACACTACACTACACGAGCGAGGCTTGCTCGCGCTAACGAAACTCGATAGGTTACACGCGAACGACGTAAACCAAGTAGAATGGCGAGGCCCTTTTGAACTATCAAACTTCAATTTGATAATACGATGGGTAATCTCAAACGAGCGACCCATATCCATTGTAACTATCAATTTAGTGCAAAAATATGATGGGTAAACTTACGCTTGTGACGTGTGTATAATGCTATACAAAAACAATTTAAACTGCCTACATCCGAAACTATCCGACACTTTTGAATCATTTACGGTTACGGTTTCGGATATTTATTTATTTCGGATATCCGAAAGTTTCGGTTACGGTTACGGATATCCATAACATCCCTGATAAATACACGTAAAAATTAAAGTTCTGTAGGCAATATGCAAATAATTCTTTGATCTTTACTTAGATTAGTACTTGATTCGTAATATTGGTCGATAAACTGTCATATTTGATCTATAATAGTGAGTTTCGTTATCGTGATCAAGCCGAACGACGACGATACAGATTCTAAGATAATTGAGTTACTGGTCACTAAAAGGAGCAAGAGACTCTTGCCTTACCCATAATTCTATCAATATGGGTTCTTTGAAACTATTTCGGGCAAATACAAAATAGATTTCCACTAAAATGTCTACATTACTGCCATTTTCAGTAAAAAATAAATTTTAATGCCAAAAAATTACTATAAGGAAAATCATTCTGCTAATTTAAAGCTGGGCAAGGTTTGAACAGAAATTTTCTGATAATAAAATAAAATTGACTAAAAAATGAACTATCTTGAATTTGTTTAGAATATTGACAGTGATTTAAAATACATTGCTAATAAAATAATGTTTGAGTCACTGTCAACGATTCTATCAAATATGTGGAATCTAAGGCTGAGAGCACACAAGCTAAGCTTCAGCGACCATACAAGTTATGACACGAGCCAAACGAAAGCTCCAAGCTTTAGCGTGAGCGGAGAACATACACACTAAATAAATATTTTTTTAATGTTTTAAAAAAATATTGAACACTTTAAATATCATTTGCTAACTACCGTGTGTGTGGTCTCCGTTAAATATAATATTAATAATGATTCGTTCCAAAGATTTCCATTCTGCCTGCATTTATAACATTGTGGTGATATACTAGATTAGATTAACCGTGTGTGAGATGAGTGTCTGTGTGCTTGTTCCGAATGACCTGTGTTGTGTAGGCTAACATGTTATTTTAAACATTTTATTTACTATGTATGATTTTGTTTTTTTATGTATTTATGTAAATATGTGTATTTATTTATGTTCTTTCTTATGTACAAAGTAAAGTTAGTTAAAAGTTAATATTTAAATATTATATTATCGAGCTGTAGGTATAATGTTGATTACAAGACAGAAAGGCTGAATTAGTACACAATATTATTACTAGATTCCTTAGAATTTATTTAATTTTAATAAAGGTTTAGCGTATTTTACTAAATATAATGAAATTGCAAACACAGTACATAGACAATAGAACGTATTACTAGTAATATCTTATATCTGTAGTCTATATAAAATTACATATCGTAGACCATTATCAAACAACCACAATATAATTTGTACTTTTATATTTATGATTTTAATTACCCACATTTTTTATATTTTTCTCACCGTTATGCTTTCAATGTTAGGTCGATATATCTCCAGCAGATGTCAAAGTGTGCTTGCCATTGATTTATTTTTAGATATTGTATTAATTTAATTGAAATAAATGGACAAATATCGACAACATGGCACTTATCTGTATAAAAAATAGAGCGCACGCAGAGTATATTTAGTTGTTAGTTGGATTTTATTTTGAGTTCGCTTTGCATCGCCCCTCCCCGCACCTACCATAGACTCGTGTTAAGATGTTAACCCGCATGACCGTGCCGCACTCGATATGGAAACTTTCGTCTTATTTTTCGTACAAAATTAAACAAATACCTATAAAAAGCGAATCTAACGAGAATCCTTTCTTACATCAATATCCATCTAGCTAAAAAGGCGAAAGTTTCAGCATGTCCGATTATTTCACGTCCGCAAAACACTTCTGTCATATCTGTCAGTGAACGTCATGCTATACGTGTAACGCCACGTTGCACACGTGAAACAATCCACCGTGGCGTCTCGGCACGAGTCTATGTCCCCGGGCGGCTGTGGCTCGCTACTTGACGTTCTGTGTCGCGCTCAGCAAGCGCGGCGAGCCCGTGGGGCTGCGCTGGCGTCGCCGAGGAGTCGCGCCCGCGTCCGCGTCCGCGCTCGCGCCCGCGTCCGCTCCCGCGCCCGTCCCCGCCCCCGCTGTCGCCCGCCCGCCCCGCCGGCGCCATCGAGACTCGCACGTCATATGACAGTTCACCATCGCGTGAGCGCTCGTTACATCTGATCGTGTGGCATCTCGAGTGCTCGACGACGAATCTCGACGCTTCGAAACTACGCTTGTCAATCTGAAATGTGACCCGGTTTGAAATTGGTTTAAAATTAATCAATTGGACCACGACGTCAAATGTAACGACCGTGACGATTCGCGCGACGACTGGAATTGTAAAGTAGTTTTAAAGCGAGAAGTGTGAGCGTTCAGTCCCGGCGTGAATGCGGCCCGGGACCGACTGATTAGGATGTGATATAGATACTTACAGTAGTTGACGTCTTGTACATAATGACGGTGGTGTCGATGACGATCTATGAAATGAATTTCACATTAAAACGAATATGAAGGTTGAAAGACGGTTCACAGCACCGATGTGCCATATTTTAAAACATAATATCGATTTCGGAATATAAAGCTAAAAGACAACGATGTAATGTTGTACATATTTCATAAACATGGACTTCATTTTCACTACCGCCACCTATCGACTGAATAGAAATCAGCCCCAACAATTACTAAAGTACCTCCTTCCTACATTTTAAGTATCCGTGTATATATTATAGATTATTACTTCACGTTTAGAACTCACGTGTTCTTTAGGCCTCAATTGTTACAACGAGTGTGTTCTTATGATATTTTGTAGATATTGATTTGTTGTTATCGACTCAAAGTTGGTTTTTATTCAAGTTGGGCGTACTTGCCGTACGTGTTTCGAGGAGAAGCCGCCATTAAATGGTAAAGAGAAGTGTTGCTTGCTAAACGAGTGTAGAACATTCGGGGTTGCCAGAATAAAATATTCGGTAATGTTCAAAATAATTAAACTCAATTATTTACACTTGAGTATCTTCCCAAAAAATTATTTACTGTTTTATTGATGATCAAAATTTTTATTATACATAACTTCAATTTCTAGATATTTTTTTCCAGTTAATCCAAGTTCTGGATATCTGATAGCCCTCACGGGTGAGTTAGATGACACACTTAGCTTCTGTGACATAGCTACTTGTTTAAAATCTGTCTTCTACATTTCGAGTCTTCTACTTACAAACATTGTTCCTATTTGTATTTAATATTTAAAATACTGGAATTTAAAAATAATCTCAATGTATAGTTTTACTGAGCAATATCTAAATAATATAAATTTATTAATCTTCCCTTTTTTCATGAATGATAATTACTTAAAGATATAACAAAATAAAATGGAATTGAAAGATTAGACCATATTTTGATAATTGCTTAATTAAGCTGGTACTTCCGAAATGAGAGTTGTAGATTTTATATTGTTTGTATGTTTGCTAATACTGGGTGTGTAGTGTGTGCCAGTCGCGAGGTCGCGGCAGAGATCCGTCTTCAACGATCAGTCATTCCGTCGATTAAATCGCCAGTTATCGTAGTTCTGTACCATTTGTTTGCAGCCAAAATAGTACTTTATGTACGCTAGACTATATTTTTCTATACAATGAATATATAATATAAGTTGTGAGCAATATTTTTATATAATAAAGTTGATGCAGTATTGTGAATTACTTAGAATAAAAATTATAGAGCCTGAAGTGATAAGACACCTCGAGTTTTAGAAGGGGTCGCGGATAATAGTCATAATCGTATCAATTTAATATACCTTTGTCTATCATTTGTTTTTGGACTCTTTTAGACGTGATTTGTTTCATATTTTCTAATTATCTTGTTTTATTCCCGACAATGATGTCCTGAAAATATGTTTTGTTTTATGGCATGAAAGTCTTTATGTGGATTTTGCCCATATTTCGCTATTTCCGAATATCAGATATTTCGCTCTTTCCGTTTTGCCACTCACCATTGTTTTTACAAGTGAGAAAAACTAGCTCATAAAAATCTGTGTAGAAGCCTCTTTCTAAAAATCGGCGTGTTTTATTTCTGAGAGTAGTTTATTTGTCAAAATTATTGACGAATCTCGTTTTGATATATGTATGAAATTAATATAATTAAAAGTGTTCTTCCTAATACTTAAACGTTTATTGTAAATAGTTGTATTAAAAGTGTGTTGTTTCTACGAGTCGGTAGTTACTTGTGATGTATTATACAAATCCTTCAGCTAAAGTTATTTTGCTCCCATTTTTAAATCTTTTTATAATAACTTTTTAACGACGTTTGAAGTTTGTTTATATAGCATTAAAATATTATTTTATCTATTTACCATTTATTTGAATAGTTTAAACAAATAAGAAATGTCATATCAATAATAGTATTTAGAAGTACCACCGGTCCGATGTGATATCGAATAAATCAAGTTAGAATGAAACGAAGAAGTTCCTATTTTATAACTAAACTTTTCTTGAGTTTTCAGATCTTTGAATGATAATTCTAATAAACTTCAAATGTCGATGTAATACTTTTTCTCTTTATCCGTTATTTTCGTTTGCACTTTCCATTGTTTCAAAGGAGCCACTACATTTGACAGCAGTGGTCTCCTATTTTGTCTCAAATCCTTTATTTATTTTACCCTGTCATGTCTCTTGCTAGAATAGGCGTGCCTCGTGCAGTCAACAGCATTACTCGATATGTTCCTTCATGAAGGCTCATTTATTCAATTGTTGAGTGCACCGCACCCTGTGGTTATCCATCCAAGATGTACAAATAGTAGCACGAGGAAAATACACTGTTCAAATTGTTTATAAACCATCCGTCATAGAGGGAATGCACTATTTTACATTAATGCTGTGTTCTGGCGTAACACAAAAAGCAACGCCAGTGAATGCTATACGATATTAACTTTAATCGTTTAATATTTAATTTTTCTCTTCATTTTTATTGTTGGTGCATTTGTGTAAGAAATAATTGAGTAAAAAATAATTCCTAAATTATGTTGGCACATAAGCAGTGCTATAAATATTTTCTCATTAATTCCGTTGAACACTTGTTGGAATATGTTGCATGAAATTAGTAATAAGTAGTTTTTATAGTTCGCGAGAATGTTGCATTACAGACAAGTGATCCAATGTATCACCTCAATGCTTTACAGTTAGCATGTTCAACAGTACCAAATCTATTTTTATGGTTTTACGCATACATTTGCTACACTAGTGTGAAATGTAAATATTTTTATCGATTGTCACGGTAAGTGCGCAGTTTATCAGTGTGTTTTCCATCGTCTCAAATGCATTTAATTATTTAACTTACTTACAATACCTACTTCTTGCATTCCATGCAATGTCATGTCAATTTGTGATCTTGTAATTATAGTGTTGTAAATAGTATAAGAGAGCCTTATTGCTGTTGTTTGTAATGATCATTCCTATTTAATTAATAAAGAATTGAAATTTTGAAAACGAGTTGTGTACTGTAGTTTGTAAGCGGTAATGGTAAAATTAAGTTAGAAATGGCGCGGGGCGTAAAAAATCTCATAATTTTTAATGAAAAGGATAATGCACCTACTGGGCTTAAAATGTTATTTTGTACCTATTATGTAAAACTTAATGTTCTTATTTTTTCGATTTACATGGCATCATATCGATGATCAGCTTAATTTTAACAAAGGGGGCAATATCTAAAAAAAGCTGCGACTAATATACAAAAGTTGCATTATCCCGCTCGTTCCGAAGCGGTTTGTTGCGCCCGCGCATAGATTGGTTTGGTAAACATTAAAGCGAACTCTCGCCCGGGATCGGTGGCGGTCGCATGTGGGCATGTACTAATGTGTGTTGTTCCTGGCAGCGCGGCGGACGCGCGCCACGCGCTCGTGCGGCTGGCCACGTGTAAGTACCATGCTGCACGGGACTATTCCCACCTCTCGTTCCCACCACTGCAACCCCTGTGTAGCCAGGATCTACAGCTTGACCGCCATGCGCATGCTGCACGCTTGCACCGCACGCCCGTAGTCCTTGGATGTGTCACTGTCTTGTCGTGAACCTCGCCGCTCGCGAGGCGCCGGGGTGTCGCGTCGACCGCGGGGCTCGTTCTGTGTCTGCGTGATGCGTGAGAGTCAACGTACACCCGTTTGTCTGACGAAAGCTTGGCATTCACACCTTGCATCACGACATGGTAATGTTGACGTCCGAAAAGCTTACATAACGTGTTGCGGAGCACTCGCGTTGTGGTAGTGAATCCGAGGCTCGAGACAAATAGGCAGCAACGAGGTTGGCTTCTCGCCCTCACGCATCCGTGGATACGCTTATAGTCAAAGCACAGTTTCGCCCCACCCCTGCGGTCGACGCCGCCACCCCGGCGCCCCCGCCCGGGTCCCCGGGTCCCGCGCGGCCCGGTTGTGACTGGCTCTGTGTGGCAGCCTCACGGAGACGGCGCGCCTGCTCCAAAACGTTCGCAGCGTGTTCAGCCGCCGCTCCGCCTCGCGCACCCTGGAGCTGGAGATGTCGCGTGAGTACGCACCGCGTCCTAGACGCCCGCACACTAGCCCACACTTTACTTTCCCAAGTCGGCCCCGAGCATTTAAAGGACACAGGTACCTTACATTATTATTATTATTCTGTTCAATGGCTTCAATGGTGCGTATTTGAAGCACACCGGTTTCGCCAATGTCGAGTGTTTAACGAGACACGGTGGACAGGTACCTTACATTACTTGATTGATTTCAACACGTCAGCACACTAGTGAGCGTTGTCGACACGCCGTTTGGTCACGATTATTTTCCGCAATTTACATCTCACTACATTCACATGTTTTCTTTTCGCCCGTGTAATGTTGGCCGTGTAATGACGCCGGTGGCCGTGTGCAGATGGGTTCGCGTTCTCGCAAGAGGAGGGCGGCAGCGTGTCGCAGGGCGCCATCATCCGCGCCTACGACACGCGGCAGCCGAGGCCGGCGCGCTCCTAGGCGGCCGCCGAGCCCGCGCCGTGAGCCGAGCGTGCAGGACGATACACCCGCTCTACGCTGCCTGTTCGCAAGCGACGCGATTTATTCACTTACAAAGTGTATCTGTCTACAGTACTTAACGTTGTGTAAATGTTGTCTATTACTATACGGTATGTAGAATTTATGTATACAGTAGGTGACGATAGGCTGTGGTTGATACGTTCAAGATAGTGTAGGCTGCTGTACTCGGTCACAGGGAAATCAACCGCGGGTTTTAAATATACCAAAAAAATCTGTCGTTCAGTCGGATTTTTCGTTTGCTAAGTTCGGGTTGTAGAGTATTTGCATTATATTTACATGACAAAATGTTTTAATAATACTATTGATTGTATGAAGATTATGCTGTTGTTGAAAAATAATTTATTATTGTTAAACCAACATTTGTTTGTTAATAATTTATTATTTAGAATATAATAATTATGCTTTTCATGATACGTGCAAAGCACCACAAGGCTTATAAAAGTTCACAAATCAACAAAGAAGGTACAACGTAGTGATGAAGCCGTTATTTATTAATTAAAAGGAGCCTATATTTTTGTTAAAATATTTTATTCACGCTGATTTATTTTGTACATTTTTTGTAATCACATCTATAAATAATTCCAAAGAAAGTAGAATATTGAAAAGATACTAAATGCTTAAGATCTGATTAGGTGATCGGGGTTACGTGGCGAAGTGCCTACAACCGTTGTAGGAGTTAGTTTGATTTATGCATAATAAACTAAAAAATGGTGTTTGTGCCCTGGGAACATAATATTTAAACATAGATATTTTACTTTTAACTAAAATATTATATTTTTTAAATAATATTTTGAAACCTGGTGACAGTTTAAGTGATATATTTTTGATGATATTTGCTTGTTTTTTACATTTTAATGCTTGAATAATAACCGGATGCTTGTTTTGTTCGTGAGCATAAATACATACAAGTCAAATGCAGCATATTGTTCCCGATTAATGTATTACTTGTTAGACATAATGGCTTGGCTAAGTACTGTCAGCGTCAAAATGTGATTTGTGTGGTATTTGAATATTTTGTACTTATTTATGACATGTACATACAGATATCGTAAAAGGTAATATAATAAGCATGTATATTGTACATACAGTAAGAGATTTTATTAGTTCCTTGTATAGTACATATAACTGGTATAGAGAAATGTTGATAATATAGTTAATGATAATTTTGAGATCGTGTTTTGACGCTAAGAGTACCGTGATATTCGCGGCTTCTTATGTAGACTTTGTGATGCTATAATCATATTTTTTTAGTTATCTTTATAACGCTATAAGTTGTCGCTTCGTCCATATAAAAGGCGTATATTATTATGTAATTTAGTGTGGAGTGGTATTATTCAAAATTTTAAACATCAAACCCCGTATGGGGAATTTTAAATCGAGCACCTAGATCTCTTTCGGATATTATAGAGCACCGAATTATTTTATTACTCCATAAAGTATCGGCACAAAATTCTAAAGTAATGAAAACTAAATTGCCTTGGTCTCAGATCATCATACTGTATATCAGCCTTTTTACTTCTCTATACTGTATTGATAGTTTCATCTGAAACCAACTTATTTATTATAAATAAATTAATATTTACTAAATTATTGTGATATAACTTGGTGAAGCTAAAATTTTCAGAGTCTTTACAAAAGTCGACTGCTAGTGGTTTTTTGAGGGACTTGTAACTGATATTTATCACATTATACCTCGTAACAGTTTATTATTGTTAACTGTTAATTGACTAAGATTACGTTGGGCAGGACGAGATGCGACGCCGTTTTGGTTTTGTTGCGAACGCACTCTGTTCGTATTATTTTTCAGCGTGACTGTACTAACTGGCTATGTAAAACGACACAGGATAATTTGTTCGATATTAGAATATAATGACGATTGTATGTATTTTAATATAATATATTCATGGTAACACTTTAAATATGTACAAATTATATACAATTTCAGAGATAAAACATAATTATAAAAGCGCTATTAATTTTACATATGTATAATGTTATGCCTATTCGTATTTTAATCGTAATAATTATTATATTGTTCATTTACTTCGTGAATTTTTGCGTTTTCGTGCTCCCTTGGTCCTGAACCATCAATTAAAAATTTTATGAATATCTTAATGACTGGGACCAATGTATGCATGTAGCGCGGTAGATATATTACTATATTATGTATTTAAAGTAAATGTAAAATGTTTTGTTATTATTTATCTCTCCTAACTAATTTAAAAGAGTTTTACAGCTCCGTGAGTTCTATAAAGGTACTCTTGAGAGTTGTATACGTCAAAAAATTACAGAATTTGTATGAAATTGTGGTATATTCTGGTATATTATATTGTATGTGTGTGCATAAGTATTAAACTATATTTTTTTTGCCTACAATACTGATTTAAAACTCTATTCGATATCACGGTTGTTACCGTCTCACGGCGTCGTGTCTTGTCTGGGCCCTCACTTGTGTATGAGATATGGATGTAACAGAAATAAAGTATATTATTTGTTCTCGTTCTTTACTTCTTGTTTTATTTAAAAAAATAACCTTTCCCTCACGAAAATATAAGTAGTAAGTAATCACGAAGTAGTGCGTAGTATAGATAGATATCAACGCATTAGAATATTTTCTTTGATTAAAGACTTAACTATTCGTCAGAGTAAACCCTAGACCTTAAGATAGGTCAGATCAGTCTCGCTTGCTACTGGCCCATTCATTGGGGGCATAAATTGGAATTAGTTGATAGTATTCCGGGCACACTACTCGTCCACGGCTCAATAAGCCTGTTGATCCGCCAGTCACGTATCCATCAACTCTAGACCCGTTACGAATAACGCTATGGGTCCTTACAAGACGATCATTAGTAATCACAGCCCAATGAGGGCTATCGTTTTTATACTTAGCCCTCATTTATCTATTCATTTCGACACCAATGTTGTCAAACTAGCTATAGTCAAGCCAATAGCCATTTTGTAACGTGAAGTGGCAAAAATAAAAAAAAAACCCACCATTGATAGTAGCGCGCTCCTGTAAATGTCATAATTTAAGGTTCTCCCACATGGCAAAAATTGGAACGAATAATCCAGTATAGATAGTAGCAAAGCTGGGACGATTCAATGTAGGACATCTAATAGCTAGTACAATACGTAGGTAGCTAGTCGTAATTCGTTTTTTTATCATGTTGGCTTACTTATTTAGGTAGGTACTTATACGTAGTACTGTTCATTCTAGTCCGTAAAACCCGGTGCTAATTGGGATGACTGAATTACCTACATTGTCTAACAGACACTGCAACTGCCTACTCTCATTATACATTTTTATCTTGCATAATGATTCTTGTGACTTCGCACCAACATAAATAGTCAAAGCTAAACCAAAACTTAAATAATTCCGTTGATATTAATTGCTTGTGAAAAGATACCTACGTATTGAAGGGAAACCAGAGTATTAAGAAAA